GGATGTTTATTATTTTTCTTGTATCCTAAGGTATGGAAAATAATTTTTATTATGAAAGGCGACCCATCAAATTACAACATGTCCTAAGTAGCCCGTAACTTGCAATTTACAAGTTTGCCCTTTATAACTCTTTGTATTTCATATTCCAAGTTTGAGAATGAAAATAATGAGTGAATTAAGAAAGAATATATTGACTCGCTTTTCAACACACATTTAAACCCCGTCGACCTGCCCTTCCGAGAATATATGAACAAATGGAGTACAAGTAACTCCATGTGAGTTGACTTAGAAAGTAGTGTGAAAATGCTAACGTTATGCATACACCACCGTGGACTTGACTTCCATCCTAGCTAGAGCCGGCCAGCTGCAGCAAGCACTAATTCTCCTGTTAACGTCTTCATATAGGTTGGATTTGGACAAAGAGGTTGACGATAACACACACACACACACTAGATGTACATATATTCCTCTTTACAAAAGCTTGGTGAGTATATTGCCACGAAAAGATTAAACCACGAAAGGAAACTCTCATGTGTTGCTTTCAGTGCGTACAGAAAACTTTGTGCACATATTATAAAGTGGAAAGAAAAGAGATGGAAAGAAAAAGAGCATATTTTGCTAGGTAGATAGATCGAAAGATAGCCTTCTCTTGCCTTGGTAGACATGTTTATTTATGCTTGAGCCTTGGTCACTTCAGGGTGAAACTTTCTCTGTTCCCTCGTCGACTCCTCAGCCATTACAAAAAGTCTTTTTGAGTGACAATGCCAAGAAGCCCACACACCTATCAATTTGCTTATACATTATCGTGGGAGTAAAGGTGAGCAACATACATGTTATATCAGTTCGGGTGGCACGAGCCTAATTCAGTAATTTGTCATTATTTGTTTATGGGTATTTGGGAGGAGAAGATGTTGATCTCGAAATTTGAAATTGGAATCGTCAAATTGAAAATTAATAGTAAAAAGGCTAGATGATTTCTTCTTTTACGTTAATCTCATCATTGAGAGATGACTTTTGATCAAGAACCAACCTAAAATAAGGGGAGCAGATCGGCGAGGAGCCATCACCTTTGATAAGAGACGATGTGAGGTGAGTTTTTGAAGTGCCTAGTTGGCCCCCGACGACTACCTTGATATGGCGTCCGAATTTTAGAGTTTTCTAGGAACACAGTGGGTCGGGTCAGTCCACTTGGCATAGAGAGTGGGGCGATCGTTTTGAGTTTGACTAATAATTTTGGACGATCGTTTGACCAATTAAGTCGATCAAATTAGAGGTAATATTTGGTGATCTTTGTGTGATTCATAACGATCAACCTCATCGCTGTACAAGTCAATTAAATACGCATATATAAACAGAAGTTGTAGTTTTGCTTTTATATGACGCTAAAAATTGACTTGATCACCAAAAGATCGAGGTTACGAGTATGAAGGTCAATCATATTTACCCTGTTCATATCTTACGAACGGAAATTGACCGATGATCGACCCTATTCATATCTTATGAACGGAAACTGACCAATGATTCATATTCATTCGAATAACTCAAAGTAGGAAGATACTCAAAGTTAACCCCGCATCACAATAACAAAGCCTAACTTTTAGATGGGTATTAATATGATAATTTACCTATATTCTCCTGTGTCACAGGGGAAGAAAGAAATGAAATGGAACAAACATACGGTTGCTTTTATGTAAAGAGGGAGGGAGGGGGATTCCAAATTAGGAGAGATCTGGGCGCAATGATTCTTCTTTGCTTTCATTTTCTTGTCCCATCTCCATCACAAAGTTTACCTTTCCGCAACTTTTTTTTGGGCCACCAAATTTTGTTCGTAGATTTACTCTTAATTGAATCCTATCGTTGAAATATGGTTTTTGGGAATATGTAGTGCTGTAGTAGGATGATAATTACACGATATGGATGATTGTGAGTGGTGGTGTGGGGGCACGAATGTGTGTGCCTGCCCCCTTTTGGGGCCTCTGAGAGGGCACCATAATAACATGGTATTGCACTCTGAAAATGACCTTCCTCACAAGTAGGGACGAGTTCGGTCGGTTCGGTTATAACGGAACACCGAACGGTCGGAAATTGGTTAAACCGAATCACCTCCTACATCTACCGACCACAGATCGAAAGAGGTCTTAAGTCTTTGGTTATCTCGATTTTTCGATTAACCGAGTTGACCCAAGATAAAAAATCATCTCGGTCATTCCTCCGAATATCGATCGGTTTTCGGTTATCTCGTATTTCGGTTAGCGAATAACCGACTGGTTTTGGTTTGTAACTGGTCGGTTAATCGCTAACCGGTAACCAATTGTCCAGCCCTACTCACAAGAGCTCTCTATTTTGGTTTTTGGAGCATCCATCCAATTTCTCTACTCTTCCGTCTTCGCACCAATCTATCTATCGCCGTGGTTAATATTTCCCACGTAAATGTTTATGACTTTATGTGGCCGTGACGCTATCAAAACCTGCAAAAGTAGATTTGGGAGATGCTATGGTCTTTGATAAAAGAAATTAAAATTTTACGCACAATTCTATATTTCGAATCGAGAAACGACTGCAATCCAGGTCTGCCACTATTTATTTACCTTTGTTTTTCGGTATATCATGCATGTCAAATCAAAGGAAGGCATAAAATTAATCTCTATGTTGGACACTTAACGTGGACACTAATAACACCTATAAAAAAAACTTTGATTGGATTGGAAGTAGTCAAGCTTGTAGATGACTATGTGGTCTTGGTTTGATAGTTAACATGTTGGGGATCCCCCCTCGATCCAATCCGAACTGGAATTACGTGGAGACGTGTTTAGGGGAACCCTTGATTAGATGGTAAATTCAAACTTGAAGCCTTCTTCAGGAGACTGCAACAATTTAATAACTCAATCTCGTTTAATTTTCTTGGTTTTAATTCATGGCGGTAAAGAAGACAAATGGTAGGAGGAGCCAAGGGGTGAAATGTACAGGACTAGTCGGTCACTATAGCTTAAATTTTTGCAAAAAATATGAGAATTAATCTTATACCATTTACTCACAAATACCTCAAATGAAATATAATTCGTTAGTTTATAATCTGTGCAGACTTTTCATACTAAGTGCTTATTAAAATCTATTGTTGATGTTCGGACTTCGAAGATGTGATACAAATTAAGTACCACATTAGATATACTAGGGAAAATGATCTTGTATAAAGTGTCCACCAAACTTCATTAATACGAGGCCTTTTGGAAAAGAGAACAAAAAAAAAAAGTGTGTGCTTGATCCAAAACGAACAATATCATACTAATGTAGCATCTGATTTGAACAACTGGTGTTAGAGTCTTATTCCGTAACCTTGAGATTTGAGATCAACATCTGGCAAAATTAACAGATGCATATGATAATTCCTCGTGTCGAAAAGTCTGGCAATACAAGGTGGTTGACATAAGTTCGTGGTCCTTACCTTGAGGGAGGTTAGGAACATCAACAACCCACATGCCACATGAGTGACAGTGGGGCCTACTAAACCTGGGGGTACCTGCATACTAACCATCAAGGACCTTGTCCTGGCGCAGTGCCAGGCGTTGTGCTACCGTCATCGGGTCTCCCCTCTCCCGTACCAAGGGTACCTCCGGCAACACCAAGAAGGCGGTACTGGAATTCGAACATGGGACCTTGTCACATCCCTAATCTGAAACCCAGCCCTTTACCAACTAGACTGTCTTACCATCGGTTATACTATTAGTATTTGATATCAACATAGATAATGAAATAAAAATACAATCTCTCTCTATAAAAAAACTCTTATAACATGTCGACCTCTCATAATTCAAATTATTGAAAAATAAATCTTATATTATTTATTTAGCCCAATGTAAATTTTGGATTGAAGTTAACATTTGGAGGGTTGCACTCATCCAAGTGATGGATGGAGGGATAGATAAAATAGTAAAGAGAAAGAATGGGATGTTTGTGGTGGTGGGAAGGGTAAGTCCCCACTCCCCAACGGGCTGCTCTTTTCATTTTCAACCCCTCCAATCTCTCACAAATTAATAATAACCCAAAACCCTCATCTCCTTTCCCTTTCCTCTCCTTTCCATCAACACTTGCATTTCCTCTCCTGTTCTTCCTTTTGACTCATCCCTTCCAATACAGTGTTCCCCACAACACAAAAGCATCAAATTTATTAGCAACTTGTCCTCCGCAAAACATGTGCCATAAAAAAACCCCTATACAATTCAGATCAGCCACGACATACATCGATGACCACAACATGTTTTCCAGACGGAGGAAGATAGTATCATGACATCGTCGATTTAACACTCAATCCAACATTCAGACGTACAATTTTTTTCCTCAATTATTGGAACCGATAGATATGTTTATCTTCCAAACAATACGAATTATGATGGTCCGAAATTCGTCACAACAGAAAATTAATTCATCCAAAATTGGAGAAAATAACAAAAGCTACCTACAATGGAAACCTAAAAGATGTGTTCATCAGCAGCAGGAGGAGAACTGCACTCCCCAATCGTATTGGACTGTCGCCTTCCCGCCGGCCCCCACCCAAAAGTAAGTAAGTGGCCGCGACAGCAGCATCTCTCTCTCTCTCTATCTCCTCTACAGTCATCGAAGATCTTATGATTTTATACAAAATCTACGCCACCGGCCCTCTCGGTCTCCTCCTCCACCACCACCGTCGCCTGCCGCCGTCTTCTCCAATATCCCTTTTACTTTAAAACCCCCCCCAACGCCCACCCTTCTCAATTATAATATTCCCCTTGAAGAAAGAAACTGAAAACCCTTCCCCTCCCGCCGCCGTCCACCCAACCCTCCATAGAAAAAATCTCAAGCTCTTTGTCTTTGTCTTTCTCCAACTCCTTCTCTTATCCCATTTCTTTATTGCTCAAAAACCCATTATCAATTATTAATTAATCCAACCGAATTTCAATTTCCCCACCTGCTCAAAATAACGAGCAGCTCGTGGTTTTTCCTTTCCGCTCTCTTCCCCACCGGCGATGCCTACGCCGGTGAGTACAGCCAGGCAATGCTTGACCCCCGAAGCCGCCCACGCGCTCGACGAGGCGGTACGGGTGGCCAAGAAGAGGCGCCACAGCCAGACGACTTCGCTTCATGCCGTCTCAGCACTTCTGTCCCATCCCTCCTCCGTCCTCCGCGACGCCTGCTCACGCGCCAGGAACAACGCGTACTCCCCACGCCTCCAATTCAAGGCGCTCGACCTCTGCCTGGGGGTTTCCCTCGACCGTGTTCCCTCATCTGCCGCCGCCGCGGCCGGCGGCGATGATGGAGACGAGGCTTCCCCGCCGGTGTCGAATTCGCTCATGGCGGCGATCAAGCGGTCCCAGGCGAACCAGAGGCGGCAGCCGGAGAATTTCCATTTGTACCACCACCACAACCAGGTTTCCTCTCAGCAGATGAATAATCAGTCGACTTCAACTTCTTCTTCGATTTCGTGCATCAAGGTGGATCTCAGGAACTTGATTATGTCCATATTGGACGACCCGGTGGTGAGTCGGGTCTTCTCCGATGCCGGGTTCCGGAGCCCCGACATCAAGCTGGCCGTGTTCAGGCCCCTTACCGTCCTCCCTCCTTTCCACTTCAGACCCCCGCCGCCCGCCGCCGCGTATTCGGATCCCGGGCCGGGTCGGAGGGGATTCAGCTTCCCGTTCCCTGGGTTTTCCGGGTTCTTCAGCGGCGGCGGGAGCGAGAACTTCCGGAGGATCGGGGAGGTTCTCGGGAAAAGCAAGGGGAGGAATCCTCTGCTTCTCGGCGTATGCGCTTGCGATACACTCGCCAGCTTCATCGAGTTACTGGAGAAGAAGATTAGAGATAAGAACGACAATAGCAGCGGCGGCATCTTGCCCCCTGAATTATCCGGGTTAGCCGTGATTCGGTTGGAGACCGAGATCTCCCAATTTCTCAATCGAAATTCCGATAAGGAAGCCGTCGATTCGAGGTTCGAGGAAGTGGGTCGGTCGCTGGACCGAAATTCCGGACCCGGGTTGGTTCTCAATTTTGGAGATTTGAAGCCGTTTGTGAAGGTCGACGAAGAAGAAGGAGCTGATGGAAGAGTGAGTTATATCGTTGAGAAATTGACGAGCAGCTTGTCGCGGGATAATAGTAAGCTGTGGTTGATTGGGGCGGCAGCGAGCTACGAGACATATTCCAAGTTCGTGGCGAGGTTCCCTTCGGTTGTAAAAGAGTGGGATTTGCAGCTTTTGCCTATAACTACATCTTCTTCCATGGCTGCTGAATCCTCCTATCCTAAGTCCAGGTAAAAAAGACTGATATGATATGCTTCACTTAAACTTCATTCTTCTGTCTTTTATCAGAATTTCCATGTTTGCGTGCTTGCCTCTATTATTAGGAACTATTATGAGACAACTGGGAGACAGATAGCTGTTTAGTTAATGATAGTATATAGGGTTCCTTTCCTGAACTTTGCTTTGCTTAGTTAACTTCAGGTGAGTCCTACTTTTCCAGTATAGGCCAGTTTACTGAAAAGTTCAAGTTTGATGACAACCTGCAGGAACTGGGCTAACTTTTTCCACCTTATATTAGCTTTAATGCTCAAACTTATATTATATTTTTAAACTCTAGGCCACATCTTTTTTACCAGAAGTTCACTGGTTGGGGAGTTGTGAACTCAGGTGAGCTCATCTGAAGATTTCTTCCTTCTTGCAATTTGTTCATTTAATGGTTTCTTGCGAGACTTCTGAAAAGTATAGCATCTTATGTGTAGTGGTAAAGGTGTAGGCTTTATTGATGTGCCTTCTGTTGGATACTTATCCTGCGTTTTTTCTCGCTGGTCGCACAAATCTAATAGCGTTTTGGTTATGTTGCAGTTTGATGGAGTCATTCATTCCATTTGGTGGCTTCTTTCCAACACCAGCGGATTTCAAGGTTCCCTTAGGCAGCAGTCCTTACCACTATATGGCGACGCTCTCTCATCCTTGTGATGGGCAAGAGATTGTTGCTGTTTCGAAAGGAGCATCATCAGTTCCCTCGGTGGTAGATCAGTATCAATCTGGCCAACGTTCATGGTTGCAGACTGCTGAAATTGGCACAGCAAAGGATGGAATGTTTATGAAGGTGAATATTGGTTTCAAGGTTTTGATAATTTCCTGACATTTAGATATGGGATTATGAACTTTGCCAAAATCTGTTCACACACAACCCAGAAATGCATAAAACCATGTCTGCAACCTGAGATATTATATGTTAGCAATAATTTCCCAAACTATATTAAACCCAAATCTGAATACAATCCCTGATTGGTGGGCTCTCCTGATCAGCAATGTATTTATACATTTTAGATTGCATGTGTAATTTCAGTCTTACTATCTACTTTAGTAGACATATTCGTGTTTTTAAGGAATCGTAAACGCTTTTGTGTATCTTCAGTGCAGACCAGAGATGATGGAGAGGTATTGAGATGCAGAGCAGTCAGTCTGCAGGAAAAACATGATAGTATGTGCCACAGCCTTCATCAGCATCAGTCACCACCGGGTTCTGATATTCATCCAACTCGGTTTTCCACTATTCTGGGTTTCCAATTGGCTGAAGACACACAAAGGGAAGTTTCTGAAAATGATTACAGCTGCTGCACAACGGCATATTCACGGCCAATGGCAGATACATACTCGAAACCTTACTCATCATCTGCTGCTATTGATTCACATCAGATGGTGAGAAGTGAATCCGCTAGTTGCCGTATCCCTCTCAGTCCTGCTGAAGCTAGCAATAACTGGAGGATCACACCGAAACATTGTGAAAAGCCTTTCAATGAAGATTCAGGCGGTGCTCTCAGATTTCCTCAGAGTTTATTGTCCAATTCAAGCATGTGTTATGGCAGTAAGGCATCTCCTGATTCTTTGACCACGGATCTTGGACTTCATTTGAGCTCCCCTCCTGCTGCCACTGGTGAGCCCATTAATCTCAAGGATCTTTGTCGGGATCTCTCAGAAAGAGTAGGCTGGCAAGATGATGATGCAATATTCACCATCTGCCAAACCATATCCGAGTTCAGGGCTAGAGATGGGAAACCAGAGGGAGGTAGACTGAGGGGCAAAAACATATGGTTCAGTTTTCTTGGACCTGACTGGCATCGTAAGAGGAAAGTTGCAACTGCAGTTGCCGAGATGATTTATGGGAGCAAAGAAAGCTTAGTGTATGCAAACTTGAACCCTCAAGATGGTAACAATGGTTCGATGTTGAGGGGGAAAACCGTGGTGGATTATGTTGCTGGGGAGCTCTGTAAGAGGCCCATATCCGTTGTGCTACTTGAGAATGTCGACAAAGCTGATGTTCAGGTCCAGAGCAGCTTGTCTCGTGCCATTCAAAGAGGGAGGTTCTCCGATTCACATGGAAGAGAAGTTCCCATCAATAATGCAATCATCATTACAACTTTAACCGTCAAGGATGACAGCACTAAGAGAGATTTGAGTACATATTGCGAGGACAAGGTTCTGAAAGCTAAGGGCTGGCCGCTGCTGATATCGATTGAGAAGAAACAACTTGGGCGGGAGTTGAGTCTGTCAGTGACTAGCGATGGCAGTTCTTCAAGCTCATCGGTATTCTTGAATAAAAGGAAACGTGCAGATGACAATGCATCAACCAGGAAATGTCTGGACTTGAACCTTCTTCCAGACCAAGAAAACGATGACCTGTTGGACAAGGAAGGTGAGAACTTGGACAGTGATGATTTTGTGTGTGATGATCATTCTTCCAGGGCTTGGTTACAGGGATTCTTCGGTCAGGTCGATAGAGTAGTGATGTTCAAGCCTTTCGACTTCAATGCACTCGCCACCCGAATCTCAAATGAAATGAACAAGTGCTTCCACAAATTTGTGACGCCTGAATGTGATCTGGAAATTGATCAAAGGTTCATGGAGCAGCTGCTAGCTGCGGAGTACTTATCAGATAAGAAGAGGACGGTGGAGGATTGGATAGCGCAGGTTCTGGGACGGAAATTTGAGGAAGTCAGTAGGAAGCATGGTGAACTGGGTTGTGATTACATCGTGAAACTTGCTGCCCTTGAAGAAAGATCGGATTTGGAAGAGCTCAATCCAAGAGGTTGCCTTCCTCCACAAGTTATTATCAACTGATGCCCCAGCACCCAGGTCTGTGTAAGAGGCTGTATTTTTGTTTGTAGCTATAATAGATGTACGTATAAATCGTAGGGCTTGTATAATCTTGTAATCTTAAGATCTAATATAGCTGTTTGTCTAATAGTTTTTGAGTCTTAGCCAGGTATGTAACGCGCAATCAGGCAGGTGCTCTTGGAAAAAGGGGGTCTGTTCATATTTTCCTTTCCAGGAAACCTAGTATTTGGTATTTTTTCTGGGTTTCTGAACCAGTTCCTTGGAGCTAGCAGAGTACCTGTATTCTTCTGCGTATTGCTTAGTGTGGTTTACCCCCTTTCTTGATTGCCAGGAACATGTGTCAAGTCTTGCCCTTCCTTGTAGTTAGCTGTTAGCTCTAGCAAAAGTAAGACTCGACTATGGTTGCAGGTGCTGTATATGAGAGGAATATAACTAAAATATTGTAACATTCAGCCTCATTCCAAGGATACATCACATAGGCTACTATGTGGTCTTGGAGTTACCTTCCCCAAAATCGACCCATTACCCATCTCCTTTATTTCCTCCATTAGTTCTTCATTCATACAAATCTCAGAATTTCCAGTATCGACATCTTTTCTATCTTCAATCTCTCCACTAAAACCTAGCAATCAGTTTCAATTATTGTTGGACGAAAGTTGTGTTCTTCTGCCAGACCAAACCCAAAAGAAAATACTTTCGTTTCTGCCATTTCACCAGTCATGAGATCATTTCTTTCCGAATCATCGCCATCTAGAATTTGCCAACACTATCTCTAATAACAACACATATATCGGTTCCTCCTTTCTCGATGATTTCCCATTCTGTTAGTTTAGGGTTAATGAACACATGATTGTTTCGTCATCGTCAGAATGACCATTGTGCGATTAAGAGTCTACTTAGTTCATCATTTGCTGCCTTAATAAGAACTTCACATAACCATTCTTTGCAATTCGACTCCTCCTCAATCTCAAACCATTCTTTTACATGGCTTTGTCTCTCTACGCGAGTTACCTATTCACTTATTCAGAGTTCTTGGTTATTTGTTCATGACTCTCACGAAGCCCACAAAATCGGCATTCTTCCTAAACTTCTTTTAGCTGCTTGGATAGGTTGGCTACAATCATCAAAATATTATTACTTCATCGCTATCCAAACATCTTCGTCTTTGATGAAATTGTAGTTTCTGCATTCACATTCAGTCAAATGAGAAGCCATGTACCTACTTGACTTGGGCTCTATGGTTAAGGATTGTTGTGCTTGCACCTTACACTTGGCACACAAGTTAGTTCCTTATTGCCCCCAATGATGCTATGCTAATTAACATTGAGAAATATTCATGTAACCATGTGTGATGAAACATGCCTCAAGGTCGAGCTAGTTTAGTTTAGGTTGATGAGTCCCGGATCCCGTCATCATTTCCAAAAGCCCAAACACGAGCAGGAGAGGAAGTCGAGGAAAAGCCCATATAATAGACGCCAAACAGTCGAGATCCCAGAAGCCCAACAAGGAAAATGCACAAACAGTTGAGCCCAATACGACGCTCCCAGCTGTACTTAGAAAAACGCCAAGCCAAGGTTCCAACATCCAAACTCTCACACGCACAAAATCTGGCCGTCCCACTAACCAACCCATCTCTCTCTGATGCTTCTTCAGCTTCTCCTTCTCTTTTAGGCTCTGTTTCTTTCTCTCTCTTTTTTCCGTCTACAGACAGCAGCAGCAGACCCCTTCTGTGTCTGTATTTTGTCTCTTCTCTCTCTGTGTGTGCTCTCAGTTTTCTTGTATTCATCGATTTACCCACTGTAACTTCTCCTCCCCCAGTTCTAGACCCACAACTCTTCCCCTTGGATCCGATTCTCATCACTTTTCTGCTTTCCTTTTGCTTCCCTGGTGTTTCATTTGAAACAAATTACTTTCCTTTTCTTTATATGCGTGTTAATGGCTTCCATTTCCTCTAGCCCACGCACAGTTGAAGAGATCTTCAAGGACTACACCGCCCGCCGCGCCGGCCTCGTGCGGGCTCTGACTTTCGGTAACCCCACACCTAAACCCTAATTTTCTTTTCTCCCCTTCCTCCTACCCTTCATGTTCTTCTTCAATGCATGTGCTGACAATCTTCCCTCCTATGTTTCTGGTTTTCCTTTCTTCTTCTGCTGTTTCTGTTTGCAGATGTGGATAATTTCTACTCGCAATGCGATCCAGGTTCGTGAAACTTCTCTCTCTCGCCGTGCTTTTAGGTTTCCTTTTAGTGTGGAGTGAATTGGGTTGGGGGAACTGGAGGGGAAAGTTGGTTGCTGTTTGTTTCCCTAGAGATGGGTTTTCGATTTTTGTGTGGATTTGGGACGGTGAGCCGCTGACCAAAACTGAAGAGTTGGAATGAAGAAAAGTTGACTTCTTTTCCTCTGTTTTTCATTTCCCCCTTTTGTTCCCCTTGTCTGTTTGTGCTTGTATTTGGCTAACTATGCTTGTGATTAGATGTAGTTGGTAGTGTGGAAGCCGCAATGTGGCCATGTGCGGATGTGGATCTCTAGTTATGGCTACCTGATGACTTGGCAATTAGTGTAAATTCTTGTTCTTTACCTTTTTGGGGGTCCTGTTGCTTTGTGCAGTGTGGTCGTTCTGTTACTCTTGTCAGCATGCTTAGTTATCAGCTTAGTGAAATTGTGAAGCTTTGGTTCTTTTATGTTGCAGTACATTTCACATTGTGTTGCAGTTAGCCAGTGAACAATGTTGCTCTATCCCTGAACTGGGTGGTTGGGCTTGCTGGCGAAACCAAGATACATTTAGTTGGGTTGGTTGATTGCTTGGGCTATTGTTTGACTTGGTGCTTGTGATGTTGAATGTTTTTGTTTAGCGTTGAAGTTGTGATGGTGTTTCTTTCCCTCTGTGGCTTCTCCTTGTTTATAATGGGTGGATTCTAAATGTGGCTGCATTTGATAATGTCAGAAAAGGAGAACTTGTGTTTGTATGGACACCCAAATGAGTTATGGGAGGTGACTCTTCCAGCCGAGGAGGTTCCACCGGAGCTACCCGAGCCAGCTCTGGGTATCAATTTTGCAAGAGATGGGATGCAGCGCAAAGATTGGCTCTCTCTTGTTGCAGTTCACAGTGACTGTTGGCTGCTCTCAGTGTCATTCTACTTTGGTGCCCGGCTTAATCGTAACGAGAGGTAAAATCCTTTTCGTGTTTTCTTCTGTCCTCTTACAGATTAGTCTTCTATTTATAGATACACAAGTAAGGGTCTTGGCTAGTTGAACCCAGATTCTTTTCTTTGTTGTTGAACATTGTCTTGCTTTTGGTTGAGCAGGAAGCGGCTATTCAGCATGATAAATGACCTGCCAAGCCTATTTGAAGTTGTAACCGGGAGGAAGCCAGTGAAAGACAAACCAAGTGTAGACAGTGGGAGTAAAGCTAGGAACAATGCGAAGGTAAAAAGCTTCTTCTTGTCATCTCAAGTTAGTCAAAAACACTCTCGTTTCCTCCTGTTTGGCATTTTGCATCCAAATCTGACCATCTTAGCTTGTCTTTGCATCGCAGAGATCACTGGATGGACAGGCGAAAAACAACTCAAAGTTAATGGATGAGAACTATGGAGATGAAGAAGATGAGCACGGGGAGACAATCTGTGGGACTTGTGGCGGAACATACAACTCAGACGAGTTCTGGATTGGGTGCGATATCTGTGAAAGATGGTACCACGGGAAATGCGTCAAGATCACTCCAGCAAAGGCCGAGAGCATCAAGCATTACAAGTGCCCTTCCTGCTGCACAAAGAAGGGAAGACAGCAGTAGCAGTAGCAAATCCCGAGTAATAACTATGTTCAGTAGGGAAAACACCAATTCAACAGCACTCTTTTTTGAGCCAAGTGAAGGAAGGAACAAACCGAACGAGGCCTCGTAATGACCTAATTGGCTTAGCTTTTGCCAGGTGTTGTGACACAACTCTTAGGGTACCAAAAAAAAACATCTTTTCCTCCATCTCTTTTCTGTTTCGCCTCTGTGAGTAAGGTATCTTTTATCTTAGCTCCTCTCTGTGGCATAACATAACAGGTGTCTTAGCTTAGTTTGTTTTGTTTCAACTCTGGTTTTGAAGTCGCCTCGAGATTGTGATTGAAACCTCGTTTATATCTCATTCACAAAGGGATTTGGATTCTTCTTAATAACTGACAAAACTGAAAGACAAGATACATAGTTATAACTGAACCTGAAAAATCTAATCCCTCCCCAATTCGACGGGGACTCGATCAGACTTGCTCCTAAAGAAACTTGCTAAGATATAGTAAATGAATGATATTCTAAACAATCACCAAAACACGTAGCTAATTAAATGGGAAGTCCCAACGACAAATTAAAATAAGAATGATAGTGAAATTTGCAACAAAAGCATTGTAGACGGCATCATAGGCTCCATCAAATACGCGAAGTATCCGTCGTCCTTGTCCTTCAACTCGAGCACTCTGTCTCTGATAACTGGATCATCGAGAAGACGGTTAACTTGATCCCGCTTCTGCTTGACGAGCTGGAATGTCTCTCTACACAGAGAAAACCAGGACGTGGGAAGGCATGCTTTCGCGCATCGAAGGATGAGGTCTCTCAGCCCCCCCTCCGTCAAATTGTCAAAATGGTCGAACAGGTTTTTCCAGAACTTGAGGACGATGTAACAGAGCAAAAACAGCATAATGTGTGGTGCCCACATCCTCTTCACCATGCGAACTAGCCCAGCAGGACCGATCCGACCCGCGTAGAAGGAGTCCTCCTCCTTCAGCTCGAGGATTCTGTTCTTGATTGCTGAATCATCAAGCAGGCGGATGACTTCGTTCTGCTTCTTCTTGAGGAGCAGGAACGTCATTATAGACAGACAGAAAAAGAAGAGCAGCACGAGTTGCATTGAACATACGAAGATGAGTAGTCTTGTGAAGAACCCCAACTTGTTAATGTAGTACTCATCCAGGATTCTCAACAGGACGTGTTGGCCGATGATGAGCAACGCCCCCGCTTTCTTCATCGTTTATTCTACGTAGGAGGGAGATTCGCGCAGTAGAGATCGATCATCTTTCTACTCTATATGTTTATTTATAGTATAGGCTTCTTTTCTGTTTTCGCTTTCTGGTTTCGGAAAACAGGGTTTATTTGGGAGTTAGTTCTCCTCTCAAGATAAGATTCCCTTTCTTTCTCGGAAGATGCCTGGATGCTTTTGTCTGCAACTTGGGGAACTGTACGATTACCATGGCTGAATTTAAAGGAGTTGAAGTTGGCCTTCAAAGGACTTGGGAGCAAGGATTCCGCAAGGTTGAGCTCAAGCTTCATCTACTGGATTTAGTATCATGAAGAACCACCAGGACAAAGACCATCGATATGGTGTCATTGTGGCACGCATTGGAAAGTTTTTATTTTTATTTTGATTGGGAGGTTAAAGTTTCCCATTCGTATAGAGAAGACAATTACGCTGCCAATTACTTGGAAAGCAAGGATCATCTGACTCCTTTTAGTTAGCGCTGGCTATTTGGTCCGGGTTTTCCAGTTTAACCCGATACCGGACCGTATAAATCCAAAGCGTTTGAGATTGGGACCGTATGTAAAACAATCCAAGGTCTGAGCTTTGGTGAGTTTGGGAGGATTGAGCTTTCTTGAATCGCTCTAAACCAGCTCTAGCATACATTATTTTCCGTTCTAACCAGAACCACAAAAAGAGAAACTAACAGCAAACCCAAGTAGCGAATGTAACTTCACTTCTGATCCAGCAAACCCTAAATCCAACTAACCAAGGGAAAGCTTTGCACTTTATGAAGAGCGAGCGGGAGAAGATGAAACAGAAACCATCTCTCTCGCAAAGCATGGCAAAGGCAAAGAGGAATAACAACCTAAATTTGGATTATTGACCAAGTAGTTCAACTTTTCATGGAATTTCCTCTGTTCCACCATCTATGCAAACCAACCATCTTGGTAAACGAATTAAGTTTGCAATTAGGGCATTACTTAGAAGAAAAAATCAAATTCAGGGAAGCGAAATCCAGTCGTGATTATTATTCATCATTACAAAACTGTAGTTTACGGGAGGGATTTTCAGGGATTTTTCCGCACTTTTTAATTTTTTTTTTTAAAAATAGCACCCAGCCGAAAAAATTTACACTAATAGCACCCTTTTTTATGGACTGCACCTTAGAGGTGCGTTTTATAATTCTGGACCAAAACCGCATCTTGGCCAAGCGGTTTCAGGTATGACCTACAGAAACCGCGTGGCCGAGGTGCGGTTTTGGCCTGACCTAGCGAAAACGCATTATGGAGAGGCGGTTTGTTTCTCCAAAACGAAACCGCATCCCCAAGGTGCGGTTTTGCCACACAAACCGCACCGCCAAGGTGCGGTTTTGGTCAATTAATTTCCGACATGCCATGCAGAATAACAGACGTGGGTCTGGAGGTGCGGTTTTTATAAGTGATTTTGCCTATAAAAGACTTCCCGGAAAACCACTTCTCTTCACACCTCTCCTACTCCCCCATCTCCTCCCAACTACCGAGGATGATCCTAGGCCATCCACAACTGAGGAGATTGCTTGATTTTTTGGAGAAGAACACTCCTCCGATCATGCCTATGAGATAGACACGAGCATATCTCTCCTTCTCATCCTCCGGACTTTCCTCGGTTAGGGGATGACTCTCGTAATGGTCTCTAAAATACTTCGTCAACCAAGTAATTTAGACTTGGTGTTTCCTCATTGATGGCAAGCGATCGGTCGCATCAACACACCCCTTCACTGGTACTTTCACTCCCAAAACACTGTGGATGAAATGAACCAAACCGAGCATACCGTCACAATCCTCGGGGAGATGATCACTCACGCACACCGGTTTGCCGTCGATGGGCAGATGGGTTAGGATGGCGACATCCTTTAGCGTGATGGTGGCCTCTCCTTCTCTAAAGTTGAAACAATGGGTCTCCTTTCTCCATCTCTCAACTAATGCGGTGATGAGTTGGCGATCAACTTTGATGCCGTTAAAATGCCTAATCGGATCCAACCGTGCCCTTTTGAGAAAGGGCAAGATAGCTGGGTGGAATGGGAGCACATTGGTCGTACCCCTATAGCGGAGTATTGTTTGTGCCTCCTAGCGAAAATTTACACGTTAATTATTATATATTAGTAAGGGTTTTTTTCTTATAACTAAATTAATTAAATTATTTAACTTCAAGCAGAATTTTATTATCATAAAAAGACATTTCATATAATTAACATAATAACATTCTAAATCAATAATAATTTAAAGAGATACATACATATTATCATAAAACAAACATCCTAAATTAATTAACATAATAACATTCTAAATCAATAATAATTTAAAGAGATACATACATATTATCGTAAAATAAACATACTAAATTAACTAAAATAAATAACATTATTAATGAATAATAATTTAAAGAGAAACATACATATTCAAATGTTTGAAATTAATAAAATTCATTTTGTACACAAAAAAATAAATCGTACTGGTTATTTGGTAAATAATTTAATCGTATTGGTTGTTTTAAATAATTTAATCGAATACAGAGCAACACTCGTTAGACTCTTAAAAGAGGTATACATCTTCTTAGAAATGCAGTCTTTTTGAGAGAAAAATGGGGGATCCGAGGATCTCTTAATACCCGATTTTCCCAGGGAATGGGAGGATATGATAATCGCTTAAAATCCCATTTCCTTAGACGTGCATCTCTTTATAAAGAGTCGAAGTAAGTGGCGCTATGTATTCGATTAAATTATTGAAAACAACCAACACGATTAAAAATTCAACATAAATTTATTTTATATTCCACTAAATATATTAACAAAATAAAAGAAGGACAAATGGTGAAGAATTGTATGTAACGGGTGATTGTTCCAAACATCCCTTGACCGATGGTTGGGTTGGTCGTACAAGTCGGTTGGATCCAACGGTCCTTGCTCGAGATAATACCGTTGGTTGTATATATCCATGTTCTCCCCAACCTACGAGAAAATAACAACGAGGTTAGTACATAGATTAATTAAAAAGCTTATAACAACAACAAAAATTAAACCAGAATAATGAGTACGTACCGCTTGAAATTCATCAACATAAACTCCCTCTCCTTGCCACCAATCGGCCATTTTTTCGGAAAATTCGGACAGAGATTCGGCTCGGCTCGGCGGGTTTTGAGGAAAAAATATAAGAAATGTTTTCTGATGGCAGATCGGACTTAGCCGCAACCAACAGACCACTATTTCCTAGGCTTTTGGGAGGGGAGGGGAGGGTTTAGAGAGATAAATTCTAGAGAGAGAAGGAAGAATGAGTTGTGGTGTGAAGAAATGAGAGGGGAAGGGGGGTATTTATACCCAACAGACCGCACCCTCCAGGGGCGGTCGGGTAATTTTGCCCAAGCCAAAACCGCGCCTTGCCGAGACGGTTTGCTCTTCCCTAAGCTTGACCGCACCTCGACGCTGTGGTCTTCGATCCGTGGCCCGGATCGCTGACCTGGCAAGCGGTCTGCCCTTGGATCGCAGCCCCATCCGACGGTCTCCGACCCCGCTGCCCAGAAAACACAAACCGCTCTCGGAAGGTTCGGTGTGTTTGCTGACGTGGATTGGACCGCACCTTAGAGGTGCGGTCTATTAAAAATGGTGCTATTAGTGTAATTTTGTCCGGCTGGGTGCTAGTTTTGTAATTTTTTTTTAAAAAGGTGCTATTATTGGAAAAACCTCATCCATCTAGAACCCTATGAACAGTTGAATACAAAATTGGAATCAAGCTAAGCTATGAAACCACTATTCTAATCGCAGATGAAGTGGATCAAGTGTATAACTTTGTGGTCAATAACTATACATAACCCAATTAGAATCCGCCACGACGCTCCTTTATTTTTTCCTCCCTAATCTTTAACGGATGATTTCTCACTCGTTTTAAGTTGGAATTTAATTTTTTTTTTTTTTGCACAGTTAGATCAAATTAACTGTGCTATTCAAAATGATATCCACTTTGATATATTTTTGGAACAAAAAATATTGATTCATTTTTTACCAGTCTATACCATATGGTATTGACTAGTATTGAAATAAGAACATATCATATGGTATGAAAAGCGTACCATGGTGGTATTAACATACCAAGATTGTAGGATGGTTGAATACATGGTAGTAGGAGTATAATAACTGTCATTTACGACTTTCAACATTGTGTACCACAAGATATAATACCACCACGTACCAGGATGGTATTGTGTGATATTTTTTGGTCCAGTATTATGTTCAATCAAAAAATTTTAGATCCAATAGATCATGATGAACTCATTCCTTCTGTGCAAAATTTTTAAAAACCGACTTAAAAAGAAGAAGATACCATATGGTATGCACTATGCAGTTGGTAATGAGAAGCAAGAATTTTTTTTCTAAAAAAAATATTGAAAATGGATCTCAGTTTGTAGAGCACAACGAACTCGTTCCATCTGTGAAAAAAAAAAAAAAGAAATCCGAGTTAAAACGAAGAAGATATGAGCCAATTAAGAAAACAAGGGTAAATAAAAATGTCTTTAATTCATCACCCTTAGATCTGATTTTTCTGAATGAAGGATTCAGATTTAGTTACTGATTGATTATGCACCGTATCAGGAGCCATTCCCAGATCAATCCACTAAACAACCCAGAATATCACCAAATTTCTTTTTCCCACGCCATACCTAAGAAATACAAAGACCACATCAAAATTGGTAAGAGTTTGGCAAAAAGAGAAATCGCCACGATGGATAGTGTCATCAGCACTAGACCAATCAAGGTGCAGTACATAAATTTACTATTCTGAAATCGGCCACCCCCTCCCCCGAATATCCAGAAAAGAATTCCAATTGAGGGAGTAGTTCCTGTGCATAACTCTATGATGAGTAACCCAATCGCAATCCGTCACATCAGCGGGAAGAACCCGCACCCAAGGTTCTGCGTCTTGCGTGTCCATGTTTAGGACCCAAAAGAACAGCATGGGATTCTGAAAATCATGGACACTTGTCCTGGCTGAACGAAAAGGAAAAAAACAAATTAACAAAGACGTGAAAAATATAAAATAAAATAAAAAGTCTGATTTCCATAAATCACGGTAAAGCATTTATGGCTAACGTGGAGGGTTCGCATTCTTAAACTGTTTTAAGATATTTTAAAGATTAAAGATAAAGATAGGAATTTTTTGCTTGCCATTACCGATTCCCTTTAAAGATAAAGATAAAGATTAAAGATAATTACTAGAGATAAATATAGTAATTATAGGGCCCACGCTTCTTCGTCCCGAGGGTGTCGATAAACTCCATGGCTCTCACTTTGGGAGCTCCGCTCATCGTGGCAAGTGGTATAAATTAATACAGACCTCTTTTAACAATTTGAATTATTGAAATCAACTTATTTATAACATGATATTAGAACTGGTTTGATCGTAATGTCTCATTCAAAATAACTACAAAAAAATATAAACACAAATAGAGATATACATGAGCCAACAAACCAATAATTATCACTAGCTAGAGTCATTTTCTTTTGGTAGGATTAGCAATATCAATAATTACATACGTGTTTTGCTTATGTTTTTGCATATTTGCATGCATAATTAATTACATATGGTATGGGTATGTTAACGTTATTGTAATGTATGAAGTTTTATACATTATTATGACATAACATTATGTTTAAAAGTTCATCATTGGTAACAATGTCACTAACCACTCATAAAAAACTCGTAGTGGCTTCGTCTCTAAAAGGGATTGGGTATGGCAAGCATACTGGCAGTCCGCTAGTTCCAGCACCAGAACTAGCACTCCAAGGTAAATGTATTTGTCGTTAGGATCCGTGATCTCTTCTGACTCTAAGATTGGGGCAACCAGTCGGACCTCTTTGCAGGAAGAATATCAGAACGGCCCAGAAGAAGGCAATGCCATTAAACAATGATGATAAGCCTAGAAGGATGATCGAGGCAACTGTGAAAGACAGTAGGGTCCATGATGGTACCGATTCCATCACTGGGCGGTAAGAAGAATCCCAGGAAAAGAAGAACGAGACCCAGGGAGAAGCCGGCTAAAGGGCCTGCAGCTGCAACCTTGAGAAGATCTTCACGTTTGGAGACAATGCTCCTTATCCTTGTGATAGCACCGAAGGAGCCTATCTGCCCATCAACCTGCTTCATTAGGAGCCACGATCTATCTTAATGAGGAAATTTATACAGAAGTTTAAGATAGAAGTAGAAACTATGGTTGCAAGAAAAAAAAATGGCACACAAGAGAGCAAATAGTTCCCACCATAAGCATCCGACTATACGATCCGGTTTCGGTCCAGTCTTTTCGAGAATATAAGGACCAAAGATTGGATTGGATACAATCTGGTCTTGATCCGGTCCGGTCTTGACCCGGTCCGATCCCGATTTTTTTACCTCAAATCTAAGCCGAATATGAGATTGAACTGTTTGCTATCCGGTCCCAAATCCAGTCCCGATCCAGATTATATGGTTTGATTTTGGGTAAAACCAAACAGTCCGGACCAAATAGCACCTACCTGCCAACTTGGGACAAAGTACGGAACCCTAAGCATAATTCCAGTGTCTTTAGCTACAATTATGTGGCCCAACTCATGTACCCCGATAATAAGAGCTGTGACATTGACAAGGGCTCCAAGAAGGCCATTGTATAACAACTCGGGGAGGCAAGCTCTTTCCCCTTCCCCTTTAATTCGATCTAAGAATCTCTCTCTAACTTTATTTCAAAAAAATTGCTCTCATCTCTCTCTACCTTTCCTCTCGCTTATGAAGCTCCCCAGGGCTGCCGCCGGTATCTCTTGGTGACCGGCGGTAGCCCATCCCCTTTTCTTTCTTCCTGCTACCTCCTTTTAATTCCTTGCCTTTGTTTTTTATGTTTTCACTCTGCTTCAAGCTTTTCAAGCCATTCTTGGCATTTCGCTCCCCTGTTCTAGGATTTTTTGCTGGGATTTGCTCTCCTTTGGGGTTGGATTTTGCATCTTGGGTCTTCTCTCATGATGGTTGGTTTAACATCTTTTGTGGTGAATCGATTCTCTGGTTTTCCCCTTCGTTCTTCCCAGGTGGTTGTTCTGCATCTAGGTGGCCGACGGAGGATGGATTGCAGAGTCTAGCCTTGCTGCTCGTGGGTTCAGTTCTTTGATCGGGGGATCTGGGTTCTTCTGCTTCCCTTGACCAAGTCTTGGAGCCTCGTCATCCCCTGCCTCTTCAGCTTGAAGCATTTCGATCCTCATCTCTGTCCACCGCCATGTAATCTCTCACCCGTGATTCACTGTGTTGAGCGTCTTCGAGCGACTCCCAGGAGGCGGCTAATGACATTGTGATCAATCGTCAAGGACTCGGTCGGATCGGACGAGCTGTTTGCGCTTGGTGCTACTTCGTTTGTTTTGATTGCAAGAGAGCTTTCGGTGTATACTGATTTTGGTTCAAGTGTTTCAGATCCTTTGTTGGATGACTCTTTCTCGGTTTTGTGCTCTTCTTGTTGTATCTCTGAAGCGTTGATTGAGCATCTATGTGCTTTTGTTTCTCTGTCCTTGTTCTATTTTTGGTTTGCTTTGTTGGTTCTCTTGTAATCGATCATTCAAAGTGCAATGCAAGTATCCCTTTGTAAAAAAAAATATATATATATATAACAACTCGGGATTGTCAACAGCTGATCTGCACGTGTGCATGGATTTGCAATCAAGTCAGGCACGAAAAGAAACATTTGGCTAATAAGTTAATTTAATTATAATAATAATATTTAGGGATTATGTGGAATTTAGAAATTTTTTAATTTTATTTATGATGATTGGGCAGTGATGTAGCAGGTTGACTGTTAGTCAACTGTTTTGACTGTTAAAATTAACGATCAACTTTTGGGTTTGATCAAATTAGTAAAGTGTATGATTAATTCGGACTACAATATTAAATATCAAAAGAATTGATCAACATATTAAATATAAACAAAAGTTCGGACCAAACAAATATATTAACCCTAAAAATTATACTATTTGATATTTTGTCTTGAAATAAGTTAAGATCAGTTTACCAAAACAAAACTGCCAACAGCTTCCCAGCACCACTATAAACATACTACATTTCTTCCTTATAGAGTCGGCTTCCGAGTTCCAAATCCAGCCAGCCAACAGATCTAAAAACAGGCCTTACAGAAAACTTTCAAACTATTATATAACCTTAGCATCCCCCTCAGAAAAGGAAAACCGACCTTGTATTCTCCAGCAAATTTCACAACCGTTCCTAGCTCTATAGTCAAACATCCCACAGTCTCTTTGGCGACCTGCGTATTTCTCCCAACAACTTCAACAATTTCTCTGGCAATGGTGATGGCTCAAGTTCCGTGAGTTTTGTTGGCTCGTCATAACAAGGGCGCTTCCTCCAGCCATGGCAAGGCGGCCTATGCTTATCACTCATGGAAGATAGAACTGGAACCGGATGTTCATCAAAGCATGGAACCATGGAGTTGGGATCTGGGTCCGGTGGGCCAGGAACTTCATTCTCTTCAGCTGTGGATGTGAGGACCTTGCATTCTGGTGAGGAGAGAGTCAGAGCTGGATGTTCATCATAGCATGGAGCTATGGAGTCGTTAAGGATGTGATCTGGGTCCGGTGGGCCAGCAACTTCGCATCCCTCAGCTGGGGATGTGAAAGCATTGTATTCTACCAAGGAGAGAGTTGGACAAGGATTTTCATCAGAGCATGGAACCATGGAGTTGCTTAGTTTAGCAACCTGGTCCAGAGGGCCAGCAGCAGCAGCACCTTCTTCCTTTTCTTCAGCTGGGGATGTGAAGACATTGCATTCTGCCAAGGAGAGGGATTTAGCGGATCAATCCTCCGCAGGGTGATTTACTTGATAACAGGAAACAGGCAATTCTGCATATCCTCAAGTAAGCAAAATGTTTATTACCGGATTCAGAAACGGCAAACGGAGGGGTCAAAACTGTCTCGGTCTGCAACCCACTGTCTAGACCATCACCAGGTGGTGGTAAATGTGCAGCAACCTCTTCATCAATAGGTGGTGGTGGAACATTTGAGGACCCAGCTTCAGAGAACCTCTGGCTGTTCCCACCTAAGTCATAATCCTGTGAGCACTCCTCCACCTTCACCAAAAAGAAGCTAATAAGAGGAGAAACCAATTCAACCAATACTCCAACAAAGATTCATTCCTTTTCTTGGAAGAAGACGTCACCATTGTAAGTTTCAGCTCAAGATCATAACCAAATGCATAATGCCCAGTTGCTCACAGGCTTTGAGTTCATACCAAGCATGTTACAAGGCATTGAAACAAAGACAGATAGCAAGTAAGCAAGCAAGCATCGTTTAGAGAACATGGCTGGCCTCTAGCTCTAAACCCTTGAGTTGTTTCATTGAGTTGCAACGACAGGACAGGTAATGAAGCAATGAAAATCTGAAACTGTGCAGTGATGAAATTCGATAAGGGCTTTTCAATTTCAAGTAGCTATAGAACATCTATCCAACTTTCTGGTAATAAGACAAGAGAAAGGATCATAGGTTTTACCTTTGAGACGTCCTTCTCCAGAATGGCTTCAATGAGGGCTTTGTAGGAATCCATCTCGATAAATGACCAACCTTCATTGCCGCCATAAACCTGGACCAAAAAACCATAAATTCGTCTAAACGAGCTCACAATTTAGAGAACGAAAATGACTGTACTTCGGACACTCACTTTCAAGAGCTCGGCGATGGTTTGGTTGATCAGTTTACGGGGGAAGCCCATCGCCAGCATTGCATCAACGGCGGCGCCCTTCCTCGTCAGAACCACCTGAACAAAGCAAGGGAACAGAAATAGGAGAGAGAAAGCCATGGATCAGAAAGAAAGAAACTTACCCAAATGGGATTTCAACAGAGAAAGAAGTTTGGGCGAATGGAGTCGAGGATAGAAAGAATCAGTGCAAGGTCCACCTTCTTTTTCTTCGGCCGTCCTCTGGGCGCCATTGTCGCCTGCAGAAACGCAGAAGACGAAGAATCCCCACGTTTTGTCCTTTCTCCACCTCCTCCGGGGAATCACAAAATGACAAAACCCTGATTGATAAAACGGGAAGAGTAGAAGACGAACTCTCTAAGAAGTAGAATCAGCCACTGCGCTCTCGCCTGTCGTCGCCCGCATAGTTGAGGCTTTTGAGTTTTGACCAATGCTTTTCCTATCTGGGTCAGTAGCGGTTGGGGTAAATAACAGAGAGAGCTCCCCCAGGATCAGGTTGAAATCATCAAATCATGTCAAGACCGTGTCATGGCGTCAAGTCAAAGACAAGTCAAAGCGGGCTAATTAGCATGGTTAGTTTTGGATTAGAGAGAAATGTAGGGATGGCAACCCTAACCGGAAATCCGGGTGCCCGCCCGAAACCGCACCAGTCAAACCGGGGAAAAACTGTGTTGACCGGGTGACGGATCGGGGACGGGCAAACCCGAAGAGTTGACGGAGCGGTGATGGATTCATCACTATCCGCCCCGTAACCGCCCGAGTACATCACTACTCCAACAAAGCTAGAGGCAGACCAACTGCAGCCGTCGAAGAGGCAGACCAACTGCTGCCACAGAGATCAACTGCAGCCGTCGAAGACTGAAGATCCTTCAGATCCTGGCCTGCGATTCTTCGTCTCCCTGTAGCGGGTATGTGAATAGCCATGCGATTCTCCCTCTCCTCGATTCTCCCACTCCTCGACTCGGATCTATGATGCCGAAGCGACGGCGACGGTGGAAACAGAAATCTGACGGCGGCGGCGATGGAAGAATGGGATCTGACAAGCGGATCTGCTATCGCCACTCTGATCCCTGCCTCTTTCTGTCTTCTCCTCTCTTCTGCCCCAACAATGGTTGGTGTTGCAGCGATGATCTGGAGCTTCGCGACAGTGGAAGAATGGCGAAGTCCGGGTTTGCGGGGTTTCGGGTAAAATCCGTACCCGGAGTCGGGCGGGTGGCGGTGGAATTTTTGCCCCCGAGAGTGCGGGTGTGGATGGTTTCTCCGACCCGAGGAGGTCTCCCGGGCGGGGTGCGGATGCTGGGAAACCGTCCCCGATCCGCCCCGTTGCCAACCCTAGAGAAATGGGGTGAACTACACCAAGTCACCAATAGAAGCATTGGTTTTGACTTTTGACCTTTGAAGATCACCTTAGGGAATTGGATTAGATTAATTAATTATTAAACACAGCTGGGTAGGTGCTAGGAATGGCAATGGGCAGGTCCGGGGCGGGTTTCTTGGTACCCAGACCCGTCCCGTGACAGGTCGGGTAATTTATGATGGGTCGCAGGTCGGGGCAGGTCGACCCAATTGGTATGCAATTTATATGAAAAACATTAGAAATATTCGTTGTTTTTATTATAAGACCAAGAAAACAAACAAATTTTTGATAAATGTAGTTAAATTATTAGAGAAATTGAGGTTTTCACTAATTTACAACATTATTATAGCTAAATTATGATGTATTAAAAGAAAAATCTTAAGTAAATTGACTAAGATTACATGTAATTTAGGCAAGAACGGGTCGAGAATGGGGCGGGCTATGGCAGGTCGGGTCGATGATAGTACCCATGCCCGCCCCGCCCCGCCTACAAAGCGGGTCGGACCGCCCCAAAACAGGCCGAACAGGTCGGGTAAAACGGGTCAGGTCGAAATTGTCATCCCTAGGTGCTCTACTATCATAAGTCTATGGACCTTTCTAAGGAACTCTAAACCCATACCAAATGGGTTCCCCCAACTCTCTTGGCCCAGTTTCCAAGCCCAAAGCATGTATGGCCCTAAACCCATTTCCTTCTTGCTAGGTTGTTATCCGAAGTCCAAAGTCCAAACCCACCCCGACAGAACAACCACCAAAGCATACGATGGAGTACAGCAAACAACACGATTTTTCTTCCACAAAGATTGCTTTGTTGTTTTTTCCCAAGCTGCTAGATCTCAATACCCCACTCCATTGACCAAAACTCCAGATCCTATAAACAACAGAGACAATTAACAAACATTGAATCTCAGAAAGCCACTGAGATTATGAAACCAAAGAAAGCAAAAGCAAAGCCAAATTTGATAGCTACAAGCACCTAGCACAGCTTGAAATAATGCTTTCCTATCCTTTAAATCAGCAGGAGATAAAGCCATCCAGCCAGCCATGTGAGAAGCATATATGTGATAATAATGTGTACAGATGAAAGGTATAACCAACAACAAGATCTTCAATCCACAACCACTCAGGATCCTCTTAGTATTGTAGTGTGTAGGGATCCATTTTTTGTCAAAAGAAGATGACCTTGGATTCGTGTGTTTCCACATGCACTAAAAATTGGCTTGTCTACTCTTCCCACTATCTGTTTGAATTTTCTCTCCCTCACCGTCCATTAGTTCGTCGATTTTCTTCATATTAGTGCAACAAAAAACACATAAAGATGTTATTTATTACTTAAAAGAACTCATATATAGTTGATTCGATACATTTATAATCCGATATCAATGTGCTTGATTGCATCACATCATGCCATTTCCTCTCATTCTGACAACCAGAAATAGAACACATTCACAAACCTCATCACCATCCAACCACATTTTCTTATGCATATAACAGGAAGTTGTCTGAGACAGAGACAAAAAGATAAAAACAAACAACATATTTTCTACAGAGAAGAGCGGAGTCAAACAAACTGATAGCCCCTCCCTATCTGTATAACATATAATAATATTGGTGGATATACTTCCTACTACAGCTTCCAAATCCAATAATAAAAAAAAGAAAAGAGAAAAGACACAATTCTAACAAATGCTATGGTCACCGGCGGCAGCTTTAATGATGCTTGGCAGCAACCGGCGGCGGGCACTGGTAGCACTTAGCAAACAGCCCAAAGGTATCAACTTGCCTGATGAAATTGGTGACGCTGGCCCATCCACCCAGCCCAAATCCAACCACGAAAACCCACACCACCACAAATGCGTTCACTATGTACATCGCCGTCCAGCTCCTCAGAAACACCGGCGGCTTCTCTGCTGCATTCTGCACATTGTTTGTTTCGGTGTTTCCCACACAAACCACCAAAAAATCACAATCCGGTTCCAATTCAAAAATAAACTACGATATACGGTTCGATTAACATGTTACTGGGTAAGCGTCAATTGTTGGATACATATAGATACGTTTTTAATAAGATTTTTTTTATCATTGATTGTTAGCTAGGATGTCATATCAATTCATTAGTGGTGATGTGAGATGTGGTTTGGAAGGTTTGTGTGTGCTAAGTTTGCAGCTAGCAAGCAAGATAACCAAAAACGAAAAGGATGTACCAACTACCCACTTTCCTTTGTCCTCATTAAACTAAATTAGTGTCAGACTGTATCAACTCCCCAATCTTAAATGGCCTCCTAAATCCTAATCCTCTGTTTTGTCTGTAATACAATTAACGACAACACTATTCACACGTAAACCATAAAACCCTAATTGATTATGGAACACTTGTTAGTTAACTAAGGGCAATTTCCATGTCCAAACACATCTATTAATATCAACCACAACAATTTTTTTTTTTAATTATACCCCACCCTTTTCCCTACCATACAAATAAGTCCAAATTATGGGCTCAACAACTAGTCTTGTTACCACTGTTAACAACATGTCACAATCTTCAACTAATGCCCTCTTGGCATCTCATTTCTATCCATCTCCTATTCTCATTTATGAGGAAGGAAACACAAACAAGATGACAGCAATGGCCAAGAAGAAGAAAAAGGATTGAAATGGGCTTGTATGGGCCCATTCATTTATTTGTGTAATATAGATATTTTATTCGCTTACCAGACGGGCCGAGGCGGATCGATAGGTGAGCATATGAGCCATGGCAGGGATGATGTAGACAGTGAAGCTGACGAGCAGGGCACCCACGGCCGAGTTGATGGGCCCAAAGAAGGGGAACACAATGGCCAAGAACCATATCGGCACCACCACGGGCAATCTCGTGAGTGCCCTCTTCAATATGCTCTTTGTGTCGTGCATCCTCACCACTTTCTCCCACACGAAGTACAATGGCGTGCAGGCAAACCCAAACGTTATGAACTGGAACAAACAACACCCCCCAAAAAATCATCAAATCGAAGGTTTAAGAGTGTACTTGTAGTTGTAATGATGGAGCCTAGAAGGGCAGATTTAGTTAGCTATAGCTAACCTGATGAATGAGCATTAGGATGACGGCGGCGTCGCGCCAGCCGGTTCGAGGGAGGAGGGAGAAGGCGTTGGAATGGGTCAGCAGCTGGTCTCCGAACGCCCAGTACATGGCTGATGCCGATGGCAGGGTTAAGGTGAACACGTAGAGGGTCGCGAGCAGATATATGTACTTGAACTTCTGCGGCTTCCACATCGCGTGCATTATTTCCCTATACGAGTGTGTGACGGACTTAATCAGTATGCTACATTTGATTCGTTACGGTTTGTAATCAATTTTTAGAGTGTAGTTAGTAACTTACACAGTAACAGCATGGCCACCAAATGTGTACAATATGTTGGTGGCGCCTGTGAAGTACAGATCCAGCTTCTTGGGTCCAGAGTGAATCACGCCAGGATCCTGTTTCAGTACCAGAATTGTTTTGAGTCATGATATCCAAAATTGGTTAAAAAGAAAACTACAGTGAACAGTAAAATTTGATTTTTTTTTTTTTTTTACCTGGCCGTGAATTAGGGCTGCTATGGTTAAATACCAGGCGGTGTAAGTGGTCATTCCAAGGCCAAGGAAGGACCAAATTCTGTAGTTGTGGAAGGAAGGGATGAAAACGGTGGTGGCACAGCAGGCTCCAAATATGTAAGTCCACGTCCTCTTATCAAACTTGTCGTTGATGTAGTATATGTTGCTGTAATGTGACGATAATCATAGCACGAGTTTATTAAATTATGCAAAGAAAACAAAGATTTGAGTCAAACCCATTATAGAATTGGGCATAAAAGAACGAGGGTAAACGTCATAATTTTAATAATCATCATAAAAACCTGACCTTGCACAGGCAATAAGCTGAATGACAGAGCCAAAGAGGAGGAAAGTGCAGTTGAAGGCCAAGCCAAGTGCTTTCCAAGTCGGACCCAGTAAACCATCCAGTACTTCGAACCACTGTTACAACTTCCAAGCACAAGATCAGATCATGAAATTGTGTTTGATTGAGCTTCAATTGTTATCCAAATGACTTTATGAAAAGTTTGTGTGGGAAGGGGAAGAAGGCAAATTGACCTGGATGACATGGTTCTTGAAGCTGACATTCTCCTTCTCTTTTCTGGTACGGTACTCCACATACAGAACACTGATCAGATAAGCAGTCCAGCTGCCCATGATTCCATAGAAGAGCTGCAGTATTATCCCTGAAAGCATTCCCATTTGGGAGAAGGAGTATGGAAGAGTCAACAGCACTTGCGCCACCTGATGCAACCAATTTTTCCCACTTTAAAACAGAGCATATAATAGTTTCACTAACTAGGAGGAAGAAGAAAAAGATTGGAGCTTTTAGTGATGGAGAAAGACCTGGTTAGAGGCACAGCTGAACCAGGCATCATAAACAGAACCGCCGTGCCAGAAAATGCTGGTGAGGCTAAACTCGGATTGATGACGAGGATCGCCGCCGTCATCTTGCTCTGCTTCTTTCCCATCCAGATGGTCACCGGCGGCAGCAGAAACAGGGACCGTTTCGTCGAAGCTCGAGACTATGGCTTCTTCGGCTTGCTTCTGTGACAGCATTTTTCTAAATCTCTATTCTACCCTTCTTCTGGAGATCTGAGATACGGGGAGTTGGTGAAGCGTTGGGGACGGAATTTATATTCAGTAATGGCAGAGCACTCTGTTTTCTTTGCTGTTGTTGGATTCCACTGTTTGACAAATGTGAGACTCTCCAGAAAATCAGCTTTCCCCACCGTTCTTCAAGTTTTTAGCGGCCGTTTCTGTCCATGCTCTGTCTCATTTCTCTCTTCTTCTGCTCCCTCTTTGACTGGAAATCAAAACCAGCGCAAAAGAACAAATATTCTCTTCCACCTTCTCCCTCTCTCGACGGTTACAGTCGTTTGTTTCCTGGGAAAAAAATATCGAAAGGGGAGAAAAGAGAGAATCTTTCAGAGTGTTGAGATCGCCACTAATGGCATTTAATCGTTCACTCACCAACCCCAAATATTTGCTCCGGCTTAAAACCCCAAAAACAGGGGAGACTCTTCTATTTCCACATTTTTTTCTTCCTGGTAAGGAAAATTTTGAGTGGTACTAAGAACGATCTCTGAAAAGAATAAAGAAGCGCCTGGGGAAAGAGGAAGAAGAGGGATTGGAAGGAAAAGCAGAGGTTGATGGGTGCTCTGTTTTCTTTTCTTCAGGAAACGAGCTCTGCAGCTTTGGCACAGAGAAACTCGCTTCACTCAGTGGCTTCCTCTTTTTGGTGGGTTGTGGGAGTGAGGCAGTGAGAGGCTGAATTGGATTAGCGTTTGATGAAAACAAGAATCTAGTGAATTTGCTTTGCCTTTTCCTTTTGGGTTTCTCTTCTCTGGCTATATATACTGCGAATTTCTTCCTCTTCCTCCTCCTGTTCAAGCTTTGATGCAGAGACAGAGGAGAGAGAGACACGCACAGAGTGAGAGAGAGAGAGTCTTTAAGCTTTCTTCCGCAGTTCATTAGCCGTGTGTCTCTCTTTGCTTTATGCTGCTTTAATTTGATTAATTATGGAAATTGTGTTTTTTTATTAATCACCTTGACAAATTCTCCTCACAAAATATAGTATGAAAATTTCCATATTGTTAATGAATTAGTTACCTTCTGTTTTTTTTTAAATTTTATATGTACCACTTTCAATTAGTTACCTCCTATTTTCTAATATCTAGTATATTGGCAGAATTTATAAATAAAATTATTATTATTTTAAAAGAGAAAACATCATAATCGACCCAACAAGTCAGTAAAATGCAGTTGTATGTTTGCCGCTTTGCCATTATGAGTTAAGAATTGGGTCTCTCTTTGAAATACTTGTATGTTGGAGTTAAACATGTCATGAATCACGTTGGTAATATGTTCTCGATGGATGAATATTATGTTATGTGAGTTAAGGTTCACAAATTGTCATTTGAAGCCAAAAGCAACGTCTTAGTCCATGGAGATGGGTGTAAGTTCCTTCTACTCAACTGAAATCCAAGTTGCACATCAAAAATGAATGTTACGATCTTCCACTTGTACTACTTCAACTTGATTTTACTAGTTCTATGCCTCTTGTGCTCTTGCATACGAAGATGATCTCGTTTTTGGTGTGGCCGTGTGGCATGTGGGATGCAGGAAGTAGTCAATCAACCCATTTTTAGATCGTAGTCGCTGGTTTGAATACAACACCTGTCATTATATTTATTGTATACTCCAACATTGCAGAGGATTTTGGGACCATAAACACCCTAACTAGATATGTACTATACAAGTGCACAATTCCAAAAAGAAAGCAAAAGACATCATATGATTTTGTGACCATGATCAACGAACTACTATTCTTCCCCTTTTTTCTCTTATAGTTCAAAACGATTCTTAAACAAGACATCTAGGTTAGCACTTAGCACCAGCCAGTCAAAAGTTGACAGCAGCAGGCTCCTAAACTTTTGTTTTCTTTTGTCTAAAACGGCTATTTGCTTATCACGAGCATTGTTTTTCCAATGATAAGAATTGGGTTTTAGTTAGTGGGATTGAGGGGGCCATTTGCTTTAGCCACCAGTCCCGTCTTCTTCCTAAAATTTTCTCCCCCTTAATCACTTTCTTTTCAGTTCTCTTTATCGCAACTTTTCCCTAATATGCTCCCTGTCTCTCTTTTCTTCTCTTATCTTGTTTGACTAACAATCATATTTTTCTGCAAAGTTCGAAATTAGTTTGAATGGTTCAGGAAACCCTAGCTAGGTAATATGTTCTCACTTCCAGTTGCAGTGCATATTTTACGTAGGATTATCTTTGAATATGATGCCTCTTAGAACATGAAGGTTTAACGAATTGACTGATTATACAAGTACATTATTAGGAAAGTGGGGATGAGGGGAAGCAAAGTATCTTGTTCAATTTTGAGTTAAGCACTAGATTCATATTATCGGCCTTATTTCATACGATTTCGATTAAATTTTGTAGTGATGGCAATCCTGTATGAAGGAAACTTACATATATATTTTTTATTTTCTTAAAAATATTGAGAGATAATATGTGAAGATTAAAATTCATTTACTGAGAAGTTATGATTGTTTCTTAGATGATGTAAACACTAAACAAGTTCAATGATACAAGATTATGTTGACAAATGAATATTCTTACCAAGCATGTCACACATATGTTTTTTTCCCTTTATAATTTCCATTTTTAAAGATGAATTTCTAATTATGATTACTCATCATCTCTATGTAATTTTGAGCATAAAAATATACATTTTTTGCCTCTCCTTACAGAAACGAATGTAAATCTACTATGAATCGTCCCTAACACATCATGGATCTTTCTCAAACCCGAGTATCAATATCTGTCTCATAATATTTTTTCTCTCAAATATATAACATTAAAAAAGATATATAGAACCGATACTACAACCACGAAAGAATAATAAGAGAGACTGAAAAATAAAAATAGAGCGGATCTATAATACTGAAATTTGGATTAGGTAATGTGGTTGTTAATTGACAATATTCACATCAGCATGACACTATACAAAAGTTTGGTATTAAGCTCCCCACAGGCAATTAGGCATACCCCATCGTAAGCAATCAAATTTGTCTTTACAACAATGATTAGGCCTAAGTACTTGAGAGCAAACCCACCATTTACAGAATATCTCTCTTTTAATTGTTTCTTATAATTAAAATTGCTTTTTTTTTTCTTTCTTTTTTCCTTCTTGGCTTGATTGGCTTTGGTGCTTTTATTTCAATCTTCAGGAAAAAGCTCTTCTTTGGATATATCAGAATATGAATTTTCGCTCCTTTATATTCATGGAATATGTCCTTTCGGCATTCTTTAAGGTTTTTCGTGCTTTTTATTACTTTGGTGAGCCCTATTATATAGCTAGCACAGTATCTACATTGATCAACTATAGCATGTGTATGATCAAAACTACCAAATGGACTATAGCCTATTAGTCTATAACAACGTTGCGAGTTCAAGATGCTTGAGTTTGAGTGTTGTTCGTGTTTGTTTCCCCTCAGGTTTTTTTTTTTAACGGTTGTTTCCCCTCAGGTTTGAGAAAGATCCAATATGGTCAACGGAAAGTTCAACAAAATATGTTGCAAGTTTAAAACGACACCAAAATAATATGATCATAACTAAGTGTATTGGGAAAGTAACCGTCAGAATCGAGAGCATTAAGGCATCACGCTGATATAGCCAATGATCTTCTACCAGAAGAATCACTTGACTGCAGGACCACTTGCTCTTCCTATGAAAATAAGCTTGCATTTAGAAAGGATAACACATGATCTCTCATACAAACTCTCTTCTCTACGTCTTAACTTTCTTACATCCGACTTGATCATCAAAGTATAATTTCATACGACTGTGTCTTGTTTTTTGTTCGTTCGACCCACCGTCATCATAATGATCAAGGCACAAATACCAAATATCCTAGCTCATCATAAAGAAGGAAAAAATGACAAATAATAGCTTGCCCATAGTTGGGTTGATTGCTTGCTGCCAATAATAGCTTTCCTTTCCTTTGGCCATTTTCATGTCACCAATCACCATCTGCCCTTATTCTTCATCATCTACAGAATCCTCCATTATTTAGGACTTGAATGAGAGCATCCTAGGACATCCTTTTTTGTGACCTAATAAATAATCTAACTGTTACCCATCTAGTTTTAGTGGGTGTTCTTTTTAATCAATAGTTATTTATTTATTTTAGTGGGTGTTTGAAATCATTAATTTGACATTATTCATCAACGACTTTTTTTTTTGGTTATTCATCAACGACTTTGTACTGAGAGATCCATATTCATTCAATTGTAAAAACGAAGCTCTGCCTTTAAACCCTTCATCATCATTATTTGGCCTAATAATATGCTTTTGTCCGCCGTTTTAGAGAATCATTCGTGTACGTAATATATTGTTTAAGAATCATTAATCATGGAAATTTCATTTATTAAGACTCAAGAAAGAAGTTCAATTGTAATTAAAAGTGTATGTATCTTGCGTTTGTGGCACTGTGAAAGGATAAATTAGGCATGTTTTAACTTTTTACCGAACATGATCGAGAGCGGTTACGGTGCTAATTGTACAATAGTTAGCACCGTCCTAACCAAGGGAAAAACTACTACTAGTTTGAATTAGTAATGATTTAGTTTAGATGCTGTATTGATTTTATAATAATCCGTAAGGGTTAGCACCTAATCCCATCCCAACATGATCAAATGGGTGTGTCATGAAGAATTATTATTACCATACCAACCGCTTCATTACTTGGGAACGATGATTAAGGGGATATGTACATTAGTACCTAAGATTGACTGCATGGTAAATGGTAATAACTACTCTGCAAATAAGTTTACATGATGAGGTTCGAGGATTTAGCTCTAGGAAAACGTAAAGTGGAGTCTAATTTAACTTGCCTTCTTCTTCTTCTTCGTGAAGTCATGGTTGTTAACTTAATATTTACATATTGGTAATTAGGCATACAAGCGTTAAGTAGAAAGGAGAGATAGTTGACATCTGCCCTAACAAATAAAACATATGCAAAACAAAACCGAACACATTAACATGTAGAAAACTTAGGCATAAAAGTTATGCAAGACATGTTTTCGTATAAAGGAAAGATGGTTGGCATCTTCCCTAACAATGAAGGGAATTGTCTTCTAACCTTCTTGTTACCCTTGTGGTGAATCTTCAACTCAATTTTTTTCTCATAAAAAAAAGTTATACGAAACATATCACAATTCTTATAAAACACTGAACAGACTTAGAAAAGTGACCTAGATAAACATAACAAATCCTATCGACAGTTAGGGCGAGAGAATTCTAGAGATAAAAGCTAAAGAGACTTAATTGGAAAGACCATAGGGTTTGATTGTCACGAAAATCTCTATCAATAATTGCCATTTATTATTTTCCCTCAAGTGTGCCATGCACTCTGGCATCATCAAACTTGTATAGTTGAGTAATAACTCAAAACAGTACCCCATTTTTTGTAGGTTTGCTAAATGGGGTGGTTACTTTAGCACTTTAGAAAAATATGGACATAACCAAATATAATATTACCCACCAAATGAGGCTAGTACCTATACAATCTATAGAGCCATGATAATTTCTACCCACTACAAAACAACCGATAATATGTCTTTTTGAGTAATGCTTGAGTGTTACTTTACAAAGACCCATTTAGTTCCATCGACATCTTTGCCACCAAGAAAGCTTATATTAGCCTAAACATAAAAAAGACTAGCTAGTAAGCATTCATTAAGAAGAGTCTAATAATTAAAGTGATTGGATGGTACTATTCTATCTCTACTTGCACATTGGTTTGGTGTATCATGATGGTGTGTAATTATTAATTTATAGGTATTGTTAGATTAGGAGCCGGATGTTCGTTTGACATACAAACAATAACATTGTGTTTTTTAACAAAAATACGTATTAGAACATGTTAGAACAATGAGCTCACTTTGTCTAGATTACTATTCATAATTAAAAAAAAAATTGATCTTCAACAACCATCTGCACTTGTGGTTGATGATGTCTGTATATTCAAACATTTTGTCACGTTCCAGTAGTTCTCATAACTCGAGTTAATGAGAAACCTTAAGAATGTCATGTCAACTCAAGGAGCTTTGGAGTTTACATTGATAAACTAATCTTTGATTAAATCAACTGCTTATATTTGACGTTGCCAAAAACTCAATTACATAATCTGTTTTGCGTTGTGAATTTGATACCATGTAGAAACCCACCTCGTCTTGTATTTGAACTACTTTCTCGCACTTGAGTTGTTAGAAGAGGTACAAAAATGAACCTTATACGATTTTTTGGCGAGTAAATGAAATGAAAAAAGAAGTTTGACCATATGGTAAGCACATCAACGCATTTACACATCCAAAGTGGAAAGTATATGAATTGTAGGAGTGAGAAACATGTTTAACGTAGGAAAGACTACCTCATCATCATCATCATCATCATCATGTATTCAACAAACAACTTCTGTCAATGAATGAATAGATAACTAAAGAGTATTGGGAAGTTGCCAAACCAAACTGTTATGGGATGAGTTCAGCATGTTTTGTGGCGATGTATATATGTTGAAACAGAAGTAGGCAAAGACCACCCAATTGAAAAAGATACATAACGAATCCAAGACCTTCGTCCTCTAGTTTCCCTTCCCAAAAGAAACTCTAACTGCTTTCACCAAATTCTCTATTATTGTTTTGAATAATTTGGTGGATGAACTGTTAATGTGTGGCAACAGGAAGGAGGCATCCTATGCAAATAGATAACTCGACGGAGTTCTGCCAAATCATTGGTAAAAAGAGCTTTTTTTTTTTTTTTGTGTGTGTTGTTGTTGTTAAAAGGTCATTCGTAATGTTGGGAAACAGCGAGTATAATTTACAAAACACAAAATTATAATTTTACTTCCAAATTATGCTATTTTTTTCTTTTTTTATAACTAGTTGCAACTTGCTTTCATTTTCTTTTACAGTATTCTAATATATATTTATTTATAATAATCATGCATATTTTATACAATTTAATAATTTATCTACTAAGCTAGCAATTCAAAAATTATCTTCTATTTGATTATGCAGTTTCGTCTTCATAAACTTCATGACTAAATTAACTTTATTTGATACTTATAATTACAACGAGTAAAATCATTAATGGTTCAAAAATCATTTGTCTCTCCAAATTTCACCATCATTCAAGACACCTCATAATTTCCTTTCAATCCATTAAATTTCTCATTCATATAAATGTTACCAGAACAAGACTCCAGTAGTCCAGTTGATGTTCAATACATATGACCAAAATCAGAAGAAGGGGGAAAACACAGAATATAGTAGTCTCACAAAACATAAGAGGTCTTCCAAGTTCCAGGGAGGGTGAGTAGTTAGTAATTTGAAGATTTGAAAAAAAAACAATTGGGCGTGAATGATAATGTTAATGTTAAAGAGTAAATTCTAATTTGAAGAATAATTATGAACTGGTGGGAAAATTTTGAGCTAAGTGGTCTTCTTTTCCAAGGTTATTGCCGTCGTCACTCGGCCTCTTTTTGCCCGGATGACACGGTTTCCAGTTTCCATTGCTCTCTCGTTAAGCTCGCAAGACAGTATAAAAGTATGGCCATAAATGAATGCAGAAGGAACGTTAGAAGTTAGAACTGAGACAGATAAAAAGGAAGAAGAGTTAGAGAGCGATGCTTTGTTATGTGAGAGAAAGTTTGGATGGGGAGAAAAGGAAAGCTCCCTGCCCCTCAAAAAGACTACTTTTATCCAATTCAACAAAATTGCAGTAATGAAGATTCTTCAACCAAACGTGGGAATGGCCTTATCTTGATTGCAATAATGAGAAGAACTTTGATGAGAGATCGATACAGAGGAAAAGAGAGCCAAAAGATATGTGTTACAAAGTGCTTTTTCCTTTTCCTTAGATCTATAGCACAAACCAAGCATACCCTTTTTTCTATCCAACCCCATCTCCTAGTAGCAGCCAGCTAACCTAGTCTCAAAATTCTATCAACCAAATGGAAAAGATCGAATTTTTACCTATTATTCTCTCTGTATGAGACTAACCCTTGATTGATTGAAAAGAAATAAGATGTGGGTGACTCATAAATCCTCTAATTTCAGAGTCAACTAGTTGCTATCAAAGATCCAACAGATCTTAAGCTGATAATGAGCATTTGTTGGAGGGAAGAGACAGGCAAGGGTGGCAAGATCACTTGGCCTGCCTGCCAGCCAAGAACCTGAAAATCCATATTTTCTTTAGTTTCCTCAAGTAGTTTCAGCACTAAGCATATTGTGGCAAACACCAGAAAATCAGCAGCCCACTATGACAGATTTACTTCCCAAGTTCTAAAGCAGGGGGCCAAAAGAAGGAAAGGATAGGAATCTTCTGCAGCACAGCTAACAACTCAGAAGTGGACTCTCAACCCCACCAATATGCCAAATTGACTGCTAAATATATCAAATCAATCAATCAATGAAGTTCCAGAGAAAGTGAGGAATTGGTTGCTTCTTCATCAATTCAAAATTGTGTGCACGGGGCAAAATCCAAGCACTGTTTCATGTGTTTCTGTACTAAAATTAGGCATATCAGTGGTGTGTGCTGCTCCTAGGGAGAAGTTCATTGCCATTTGAAAGCAGAAATTAGGTTGATACAGGAAAGTTTGTGCCAAAAGGGTTCTGCAAATTAACGATTCCAATTTCACACGAATCTTCCAAAACAAATCAAGGTTATTGGTAAAGTGAACTGATACACAATGCCTGATCTACGTATATGCTTGTGCTAATCCAGCCTCTAAATGCTAGAGGGGGATCTAAAAAAAAAAAAAGAAAGAAGGTAACAATCAAATATACAACACAGAGGATCCTCAAGCTCAGCATCTAAATGATGGTTTGAAACGTACAACACAAATATAAACGCATTTCTGTCATTTCAGGCCACAAAGAAGATGAAAACCATCAGGAAAAAAATTATGATGGCAAAGATCTTGATTAGAAGCCACCTATTGGATGATATTTGGTTAAGATTACGCAGTAGAGCACTGTGAGCACCTTCAACATTGGACAGAGATTCATCCATGTTGTCATCAATTCTGGCAATTGATCATTTGTAGATTGTGTCAAAAGAAAAGAATCACGGTTCAAGAACCAAAAATAGTTGATGTCCAAAATGGACAAAGAGAAAGATAAGATACCTAATGGCCAGCTCTCCTTGATGGGCAACCATGGTAGCCAAATGCGTAAAGATCCCACTAAGTTCTGAGATGGTTGATTCCACATTGTGGAGAGCAGATGCACGACCTTGAGCTAAATTATCCTGCCTACTAGGGGCTACTTGTTGTAACATGGACATTTCCATCTGTTGGGAAGGAACATTATCAACTGCTGGCCTCCGTCTGAGGATGGAAGTTCATTAAACCTTGCTCAGACAAATTAGAGAGTGCAGTTCGGCAAAAATTCTAATGAGCAAAAGTATTTAGATTAAAAAGGCTCAATGCCACAGCCCAATCCCACCCATGATGTTATCAGTTCATTTGCCTTTTGATTAGTAGGACGTGGTACAGGGTACTACCATTCTGGAATATATGGAATGAAAAGTACATGAATGGATATTTTTTTACTAGATCCAGAATTATCAATTAGGAGCTTCCAAATCAACCTGACAGAGTTATACAATAAGACAATTGGGCAAGATACACAGTAATCCATGACTAGAAAGGTGCCAAAGTACTGTATAATACGCACCTCAATTGGTTGCCAACTTGAACACCATTCGGTGGCAATCTGGTAAAGGATGAAAGAAATGTGAATACAATAATCAACAATTGATCAAGTAAACAGAGGAAAGACAGAAGAAAAAGACTTAGACTGCAAACAAGTAGCAGCAATGAGATGGTCAAAGACAGGAGCTCTAGGTTAAACAGGATATTACAAGTGTGAGAAAGTTAACTTACGGGGATGGCTGCGAAGGGTCAAACTCGTTTGTTGAACTTGACCAGGGAGGTGGTTCAACCAAGGGTTTTGTCTGACGAACAAAAGGATTTTCTCTAGAAGCATTTGCAGAAAATATCTGCTTCCTGTTCTCATGAGCTTTGATGTTCTGAGAGTTGAAACAACCATAAGAAGGGGAAATGTAGTGTTGATAGAAGAGCAATCTAAAGAAAACAAAAATGGGGCATGGACATCTACCTCAGTTCTAGTGGTTAACACATTATGAAGCTCCTTTGTAGCCCCCATGAGCTTATTCTTCAGGTCATCACATACAGCCGTGGAATGAACAACCCTGTCCTCGGAGTAGTTCCCGTCAGCTATTTCCATTCTCTGAAGGGTCTGAAGATCAGTAAGAGCCGAGTTCAAAGCCGTTATGTCATTCTTTATAAGGACAGTCAGTTCTTGAATCTCAACTGTAGGGTCATCAAACATAGACGACCTCTTTGCCACTGCAGCACATTTGACACAAAACATCAAAACCCAATACAGCTATTCAGCATTTACATAACCCATCCCCGAAATTCAAACTAATCAACAACCCAATTCGCCAATTTCTACAAATACTTTGATTTCAGTTGCTCAGCATCTCAGAAGCAATCACTTTGAGCACTATTGAGACACAATATTTGAGAATCAAGATCCAACGGGCACATAGTGTTCAAATTCATCAACAGCAGAACATAAGCGACAGAGCATTAACCACTTAGCCCTACATCTAACAAGATCGACCAAAAGGGATCTTACATTTGGCAAGTCTAGCGATCTTCTCGGAGGTCTCATGAACTCCCAGCCCGATCAGGGAAGCCTTCTTGTTGAATTCGGATCTGTACGAGAGCGACGAAGGTGGCTGCTTCGATGGCAGGAAAGGATCAGTTTCCTGAGATTGAGCTCGATCGGGGTTGAACCCACTGATCTTCTTCAGCGTTTCGGTGAGTGATCGGAACTCCGCCGTCCGATCTCTGTACGCAGAAGCCATTCCCGCACAGTGGAAAAAGCTCTTTGCAGTGGCGGGCTCCGGTGGAGCGAATTTTGCTGGCGTAGAAGTATAGGTTCATTCATGGTTGTTGTTCTGCAGCTTTCGGTAATTAGTAATTACTAATTCGGTTCAGTTGCTGACTACCTTTGGTTGGGCTCGATGCACCGAGCCCAGAGCCCCATACCAGTGGAGGCCCATGTAAAATGGATACTCCTAGGTTTTGATTTTTGATGGGCCTAAAACCTCTCCGTTTGGGCCGAGAGTAACCTAAAGCAAATGCGACCGATCTAGGTAGGCAAACGTCAACCGTCCGATCTAGGTTACCCTGAAGAAAGAGGCTATAAATAGCGGCTGAAATACAATTCTCTCTCTAAGGCTATACACAATTTTGCCGTTTAGGGTTTTTAGCTCTTTGTAGTCTCCTACCAGTTGCGCGCCGCGAGGTTAAAGAGACGCCACGCCGGTGTCCACCTTGACAGAGCTAAACCCTCGTCTTGGTCCTCGCTCTTGTGTTGTATACCCCTCTTCTCAGACTTAGGGTCTTAGTGTTTTCTCCGTTTGTTGTAGAAAATCTAGAAACAGACAGCGAAAATGGTTGGGAAGCCGTCGAAGGCCGATAAGAAGCTCGCCTATGACTCCAAGATGTGTCAGCTCTTGGACGATTACAGCCAGGTCCTGATTGTGGCTGCCGACAATGTTGGATCGACCCAGTTGCAGAACATCAGGAAGGGTCTGAGAGGCGATTCGGTGGTGCTGATGGGGAAGAACACTATGATGAAGAGGACGATTAGGGTTCACTCTGAGAAGTCTGGCAACAAGGCTATTCTCAATCTTCTCCCCCTCCTTCAGGTAAAAAATAGAATTGAAAATGTTTACTGTGTTTGTCTTGGGATATCATATTGAATTGTGTTTTGAACGTAGTATTATCTGTTAGGGTTTGTATGAGTCAATATCCGATGGAAACGTATCATCATGGCTTGCCAGTCAAAGGGTTTAATGTGATACATGTAGCTACGATATTGCGTCTTCTTTGATAAGAATTTGGGTTAGTGCATTGTGTCTCTGTTACCCTGCACTGGAAGCTCTATGGTTTAGGTTCGAATGCAGTTAGAAATGTGTCTTCGCTGAATCGGACCTGGGGTTGTTGTAACAAATCAACCTGAACTGGAATGTTTAGTTTATTGTTTCTGAACAATTATCCTTTGGATTTAGGGGAATGTTGGTCTGATTTTCACTAAAGGTGATCTGAAGGAAGTCAGCGAGGAAGTGGGAAAGTACAAGGTAAATTAGACTACTTACTCTTACTTTAATTATGGTATTATGTGGTTTCGTGGGATTCACTTATTCTAGTACATATGTCCTTTTGGTAACATATTGTTTTGACAAACGTATTTGCACCATCTGAATTTACAGGTTGGAGCCCCTGCTCGTGTTGGTCTGATTGCACCAATTGATGTTGTTGTGCCTCCCGGCAACACTGGACTCGATCCATCTCAGACATCTTTCTTCCAGGTTAGCCATTGCCCTATTGCGATGTCCTTATTTCTAATTTGCTTCTTTCTTAAAAGTGGGGACTTAATGTGTTTCTTGTACGCTGAAGGTGCTGAACATACCCACCAAGATTAACAAGGGTACTGTTGAAATCATTACCCCTGTGGAGCTGATTAAGAAGGGTGACAAGGTTGGGTCTTCAGAGGCTGCCCTGCTTGCCAAGCTTGGCATCAGGCCATTCTCTTATGGTCTGGTGGTCGAAAATGTCTATGACGATGGGTCTGTCTTCAGCCCTGAGGTTCTCGATCTGACAGAGGATGACCTCATGGGGAGGTTTGCCTCTGGTGTCTCCATGGTTACTGCACTCTCACTCGCCATTGCATACCCAACGCTGGCTGCTGCCCCTCACATGTTCGCCAATGCGTACAAGAATGTCTTGGCCATTGCGGTGGAGACTGATTACACCTTCCCTCAGGCAGAGCAAGTGAAAGAGTACTTGAAGGTTTGATGCCCTTTTGAAAACTTACTGATTGAATAATATTTATTTCATTGTGTCTTGGTCTTGTTTGTTAATTAGTTTGAATGTTTATGCTATGCAGGATCCTAGCAAGTTTGCTGTTGCTGCTGCCCCTGCTGCAGCCAGCGGCGGTGCTGCTGCTGCACCTGCCGCAGCCAAGGAAGAGGAGAAGAAACCAGAGCCTGAAGAGGAGTCCGATGAAGATGGTTTGGGCTTCAGTCTGTTTGATGATTAAGTTTCCCCAAACCAGTTATCTTGTTGTAGGACCCGCAAAGTTTTGGCTTGTGTTTGATAATATCGGATTTGGTTCACAGTTTAAATTTTGCTGCACTGATTTATTTTCCTGTTCAGACGTTTAAAGTGGTGTTGCTAGTTATTAATCGAATCCTGTTTTTACTTGATCCATCATTCCATGCTGTCTTGCCTTCATGGGTGGTGCTGTTTTTGTATGTTCCACTCCAAATCCAGATAGTGGTACCGGTTCTCAAACGGTTTTTAAACTAATTACAATTTGGAACCTAAACTTAATAGATATGCAAATTTAGTACCTAACTTTTTTTTGCATATAAGTCTTTAAAATATTGATGGAAAATTACGTTTTGGTACCTAAATTTTTTTGGTCTTACATTTTGATATCTCAACTTTTCAAGTTTTACAAATAGGTCCAATTTTTGCATGTGTAGTTAAAACACCATCAAGTAAATGGATATCCATATCCAACCCATACTTATTTAGATTATGGAAGCAATATTCATACCTTATCCAAACTCATCTATAAACCCCCAAATCCAAATGCACTTCACCCATACCCAACCCATTATCAATGGGTCTACTTGGGTTTGTGTATAATTACCCATGGGTGGGTAATTTGCCATCCCTAGTGTGGGTGTGTGATTCTTGAATGTGTTGAACATCATCAACTCGAAACATTGGGGAAGAATGATATAAAATTGTTCGAGAAACTTGGAATGAAGCTAGCCTTTTACCGGCTCAAGATAGGGTGAGTAACCTTAGGGTGAGTAATAATGAGAAACCAAATCTGGACCCTTCTTTTAAGTGGCTGCAGATCTAAGAGTGGAGAATTAAAAAAAATTATTTTCCCTAGTTTTCTTAATTGGATCATATCTTCTTCATTCTAACTCGGATTTCATTTTTTGTTTTTTTGCACAGATAGAACGAGTTCGTTGTGCTCTACAAAATGATATCAATTTTCAATATTTTTTGAGAAAAAAAAATTCCATCCCTCTCGTTACCAACTCCATACCATATGGTATCTCCTTCGTTGTTTAGTCATTTTCGGAAATTTTTGCTCAAAATGAACGATTTAATCATGATCTATTGGATTTCAAAAATTTCTGGGGGAAAACATTCCATACCTCTCGTTACCAACTTCATACCATACTATACCACTCTGGTATGAGGTGGTATTTTTCATAGCATATGGTATGCTGTTATTTAATACCAATCATACCATATGGTATTGACTGGTAATAACTGGCAATTTTTTTTTGTTCCAAAAAATATCAAAGTGCATATCATTTTGAATCGTTACCAACTCCATACCATACTATATCACCCTGGTATGAGGTGGTATTTTTCATACCATATGGTATGCTGTTATTTAATACCAGTGAATACCATATGGTATTGACTGGTAATAACTAGAAAATTTTTTTTGTTCCAAAAAATATCAAAGTGAATATCATTTTGAAGAGTACAATTAATCTGATCTAACTGTGCAAAAAAATTAAATTTCGAGTTAAAATGAGTGAGAAATCGTCCGTTAAAGATTAAGGGAAAGAAAATTAATGATTTTTCCAGGAGAGAGAAAGAGGCGCTGATGTGGCAGATTCTTATTGGGTTATGCATCGGGTTACTCACCACAAAGTTACTCACCGGATCTGCTCCCCTTTTATCGGCTGATACCATTCCTCATCAACCGCACAATCAACCCAGGAAGAAAGGAAACTGCCTGCATCCCATTTATTTTTATTGCGAATTCCTTTTCTCTTTTACGGAATCATTTTTTTGTTTTTTTATCCCTTTAAATTTCTTTTGAGTGATTAATTATTTTGTTTTTATCCAAAAAATTAAAAAAGGACGCAAATCCTCAAACAACCTCGTCTTCTTCCTCTCCTCTCCGTTGGGACTATCACAGGGGGGAAAAAATGCAGGCGAGCCTCCCTCAACGGTCCCTAACCAGTTCTTCTTCGGCTTTCAACTTAATCAGGCAAATCAGTATTACTCCCTCGGCACAGCCTGCAATTTTCCTTTGGGTTTAAATATGGGATTTCTCAATTGACGGCCGACGGCTACAAAGGGAGATCAGAGGAAGGGGATAAGATGTAAACCCAAATCTCACCTGCTAGCGATAGATGCAAGCGCGATGGCATCGTATGGAAGGGGAAGGGAGAAGATAAATCCAACTTCGTTCGATCCCATCCAAACAGGAAAAAGAAACAAACACAATTGATTCACTATTTAAGAGTGATTTAGGCTTTCCCATGAGGTCGATTGAGGGCAAAACTAGAGAGAGAAGCAGAAAAACGAGTAGCGAGAGGTATGATTCTAAGAGGAAGACGTTAATGGAACTAAAATGAGGTTAATCAAACAAGTTGTATAGGAGATGGATCGACTGCAGAGAAATTTGCAGGACGTTTTGCTGCTGTAATAGTTCGATGTAGGTGGAGTGCGAAGAAGACAACCAGATTGTAACCGGGATTGAGTCGCTTTTTTATGAAAAAAAAAACAAAATCACTAATTTAATTAAAAGAATTGGAAAGGAACTAAGAAAAAGTATTTATGGCAAAAGAAGAAGCCACGAGAACGAGAGATAGAAAAGGAAAATCGGGTTCGGTTGATGGCCACGATTTGGGTTGGGAATTAACCACTACTGCCACGTCACGTTATACTTGCCACGTGGACCAATTAAATGTAGCATTACCGGTGGTCGTCCACCATAGTATTGGCCGTTTTATAATTGTAGAGGCCCAAACAGACAATCAGCCCACCGATCCATAAACCCAAACCCCTCCATGCCGGCCCAGTAGAATCCCTTGCAGTCATTGATATCATTTCAGTTCCGTAAAAGAAAAACGGAAAAAGAAAAGAATCCTATCTCGGATCGGATAGGAGAGCTACTCCTAAATTCAAGCCAGACCGCCACCGACGATTCTATATATAGACAAAAGAACAGAGTATGATGAACATCGATCCATCTCTCCTTGGCCGGCCGCTTGCATCTTCCTCTCTGCGCACAGAACAGAATGATGAAGACATCAAGAATGATTTGGCTCTCCATCCTGTCTGTCATCGGCCTCGACGGCTTTATCTTCTTGATTAACATCCTGTTCGAATACGTTCACAAATTGGATGATTTCCCAAGCAACCTCATCTCCGGAACTATAACCGCAGGCTTTCTGGTCTCCCTAACTTGCCTCTACTTTATGACAGCCGCACGCCTCGTGATTAAGGAGAAGAAGCAGAAGGAACTCATCCGTCTACTCAAATTTGATTCGGTTCTCAAAAACAGAGTCCTTGAGCTGAAGAAGCACAAAGGAGGCCCCTCCTTCCCTGCGGCGGCGGCGGCTTCCGTCGATCGAATGGAGACATCGGAGAAGATTTGGATCGCCATTCAACTGTTTATGATGCTCTGTTATGTCGTCGACAAGGGCTTGAGTGTGTGGTTGAACATCTCGTTCGGGTTGGCAGAGGAGTTTCCGTCATACCTCATCTACCGATGTACGACGGCATTGTTTCTGTTCTACGCAGCTCGTCCGTATAGAATGATATCCCAACTCGTGGAGAAGAAGCAGGATCAACTTAATCGTCTACTGCCTGATCCAATTGTCAGAAACAGAGTCCTTGAGTTAGAGGAGGAGAAGAAGAAGAAGAAGAAGACCTCCTCCTTCGCAGCTTCTTTCGACCCTGAGATTGCTGCCAACTTTTTGTTCGCAATTTCATTATCATCATTTATGTTTTGTTGCGACTATTTTGCTGATGACATTCGGTCCGCTTTAGGGATTGTTTAGGGATCGTCTTAATTATAAAAGTGTTCTAGGAGGAAGTTTCTTTCAGTAGTAAGTTGTTGAGCTCTCGGATTATATATGTTTTTCCGGTTCTAGGTATAATGATTATGTTGGGTCTAGTATTAACCCGCCTAATACGGGCCCAAGCCCACCACAAAGCGTCTCACCTTGGGCCCAAGCCCATTCTAGGGTCCAGTACACCGGGAGGCGTCCAGCCTACCCGGGGGCGTCCACCACCGGGAGGCGTCCATTCACCGGAAGGCGTCCAGCCTACCCGGGGGCGTCCACCACCGGGAGGCGTCCATTCACCGGAAGGCGTCCATCGACGGGAGACGTCCATGACAACGGGAGGCGTCCACAGGATGCCTCCGACTCCTATATAAGGAGGCCAGACCCTCCAAGCAAAGGGACTTCTCTCCCTTCCCTCACTTTACCACTTATGGTTCTCTCTCTAAACCTTATCTCTCTCTACATTTCTCCCTACACTCTATCATATATCTATTCTAACTTGACCGTCGGAGTGTAGATCCCGGGGGCCGCCCCCGACTCTCCACAGGTTTCTTCCACTCCCGAGGAGATCAGACGAGGGAGTCCAGATCAAGGTTCCACACTAATCCCCCGGTACTAATCCGGGTCAAACATTTTGGCGCCCACCGTGGGGCCTGATTTGGTACTCTTCTCGTTTGGTATCTGAAGGAGGAGAGGAAATCGATTCTTTCTCTACCGATTACCGCTGGCGGCTCTGACCGCAAAATCCCATCAGAGGATTGAAAGAGATCAGTCTCACTTCTCCAACTACAAGTTCCAAGTAGCGCTCGCCGCCGTAGCCCGACCGTTGGTCTCCACCAACGCCGGAGCTGACCCTCTTCCTCCGCCACCTACCGTCCCGTTGCCGGCGTCACAAGTCGCTGTCACCCGTTTCCCTTTTCTCTCTTCCCCAAAAAGCAGACAAGTCGCTGTCACCCTTTCCCTTTTTTCTCTTCCCCAAAAAGCAGGTTGTCTGCTACTTTTTGCAGCCCACTGTGGAGTCACATCAGTGTCAGTTTCTCTCTCACAATAGGAGCAGGTCCCACCTTCTTTTTGCAGCCCACGACACTGTCACAAAAACCGCCCACCAAGACCCGCGTCCCCTTTAATTGGGTCCACACTGCATCAAGTCCATTCAGCCCGGCCTCGTCCGAACAGACCTCAACTTGGTCAGCCGCCTCGCCTTCAGAACCCATGCAGGGTCCGCCTCCTCCGGCCCGAGTTGAAACCGCATAAGAGACCAGACCTCAAGAAAAGCCCGCTTCGTCTCAGTTCAAGGCCTGCTACACCTCCAAGGCGGCCCGGAAACAACCCGCAAAGGCGGCCCAACCCGAGTCGCATTGGGAACCTCGACCCGCCTCCGACGACCCAACAACATCCAGCCCGCCTTCTGTCATGCAACACAGGCCCACCTCCTCAATTTCGACAAAGTGGACCGCCCTCCGAACCACCTCCAGCGCGGCCCATTAGTCGCGGCCCGCCTTCCGCGCCTGATGACATCAGTGTCCAGAAAGCCCTTCAGCCCGCGAAATCGACCCGCATCACGTTGCAAGCCCGCACACGCATCCAAAGCCCATCAGCGTCCTCCATTCAAGACCGCTTTCCACATCACAAGCCCAAGGCTTTATTAAAAATGAATGGGGAGGCGCCTGCAGCAAGATTCGAACCAAGGACCTAACAGCCGCAAGCTGACACGTAAACCAGTAGGCTGCATGGTCGCATCATTGATCAAACATGCAGCGGTCAATACTTAACCGCCCTTTAACTTCTCTGGCGAATATTTTGACGAGTGGAGCTCTAACGAAGAAGAAAGTAATAAGAGCCTGCCGTAGCCGGGCTGTTCGTCTCCACAAGCACCGGATCTACGCTCTTCCATCTTCTCCAGCCGTTCGTCCACCTCCGTGCAAGGAAAAAGACAATCGACAAAAGTGGAAGTGTGACTGCCGCGTTAACCTAATTTCCATCCCCAAGCAAGCTGTCAAGCACACTAGCCTGCTTTAACAGGCCTAGTGCGATTTCTGGCCCACTCGCCTCCCATGAAAGCCAGATAGGCCAGCTTTCCGCTTCCAGCTCGCCTCCTGCCTTCAGTTTGGACCGCCAAATGCAAGGTCCATCTCGCACATCTGCCAGCCAGCTGGGCCCGCACGAAGCGATTCCAAGGCCCACTCCCTCTCGAAGGCCCACTCCCTCTTGTTGCCAGCATTGCATATTGGTGAGCAGAAAGTATACTCAACAAAAAAGAAACGCCTCAATCAGACTTCGAACACTAAACCTGTTTCCCACCAGCTTGGTCGCATACCACCACACTGCAAGGCTACTTTGCACCATCAACGTGCAAGTTAATATTTAGAAGTTCGCACGATTGCCACTTTGGTCAAGCTTGCTTTCCCTCTAAAGGACCGCTACTCCTATAACATCGACGTTCAAGCCGCCTTTCGGAACGCGGCCCAACCCGCATTGCATGGCGCATCCATCGAGCGCCGGGCATGCCAGCCACACATTCCGCCCAGGTCCGTCTCAACCTTCAATGCCAGCACGAACTACCCAAATCTGCCTCTGATTTCAATAACGACCCGGCTCGCACATGGGCTCCCTCGCCTCAAGCGAATCAAACGCGGCCCATCAAGGCCCATCTAAGAGACCGCATAGCAGTCAGGCCCGCTTCGTCTTCGTTAGCCAAATCCGAGTTCCATCAACAAAAAAAAATGAAACACGACTCCGTCGTGAATCGAACTCGTGAACGCCTCCTACTTAGGAACAGCTCCCACCAGTATGCTACAAGCCTGCTTTGTACAAAGACAGGCCTCCTCCAACTCAAGGAACGCATTAGGTCCACCTGCAAAGACAATCGCGCCACTACAAGACTGGGCGCGTTTACTTACAAAAAGAAGAAAAGAAACGCATACACCAGACTCGAACACCTGACCTAGCTCGCATATGCAAGGGCACTTACCAGTTTACTACAAGACCGCTTTGAGGATCAGAAAGCGACTCCTCTTAGTTAGACCGTTTCCCAGCTGTCTTCTACAACTTATTCTCAAGCTAAGTACTTTCTTCTAAGATATATTCAAATACTATGTCATGAAGACCGCCACTGATATCATACTATGATATTTCTCACTACATTCTATGCTATGACATATTTCACGCATGCTATGCTTATGTTTGTGCTCTAAAAATATGGGGCACTAGTCACTCACATCTTTCGCAGATATAAAACCGCATCCCGCTTCCTGAGCGATGTTTCCCTTCGAGGTAGAAACCTGAATCCGCTTCCCAGTAGGCGCGACATCGGTATGGCTAACACGATCCCGCCTCCCAGCAGCCTAGGCAAGACTCATGGCCCGCCTTTCAATGAAGACCGCATTAGATCAGCTCAACTCTTAACGCGACCGTATCGGGTCCGCAAAGCCGTTCATCCATAGAAAAAGGAAATTACAGGAAGTGCGGGGGAGCAGTCTTCCTAAATCTACTAAGCTCGCATTATATCTCAAGGCGGCCCACCCCTCAAATCCGTCACCTACAAAGCGTTCAGCTTCCAAGACCATCTGAGCCAAGACCTCCATGCAGGCCCGCTCCACATCCAGTCCGGTCACAAGACCCGTCTGCCAAGTCCAAGCCGCAACCTCGCGTCATACTCCAAACCAGTCTTCTTTCAACCATTCTCAATCCCGGTCAGTAGTCCAAGCATATCGTGGGCCACATTCCGGTCCACAACCAGCCTCCTCCGGCCTACAACGAGCGAAGCTTGACAGCACCCCAGACACGACCCATAAAGCTCTCTCAATGGTCCCATTACAAAAATAAAGGAGGACCGCCTCCACAAAGCTTCAAACCCTCGTCCAGCCAAGCAAAAGGTGATCATCACCACCATGCTACGTTCCACCTCCGTGCGACATTATCATCGCGAGAACGTTTCCACTTGAAACGAAAGCCCGATCATGCATCGGCACGAAGACCACACCCGACCTCCGTCTCCCACAGGCGGTACGTCGACACAAGAGAAGTATGGTCCTGTGTATCATGTCGTCCAGGCTAAACTCTCAATTTGTTCAAAGACTCCAAAGCGCTTCCCGCAAAGTCATAAAATAAACGCCTCTCGATAGGCTAAAAGAAGACATGCCTCCCAGTAGGCTGAAAGACAGAATGCCTCTCGACAGACAAAGAAGAAACGCCTCCTGATAGGCTAAAAGAAGACACGCCTCTCGTTAGGCTGAAAGAAAGAAACGCCTCCCGGTAGGCCGAAAAGAAGACATGCCACCTAGTAAACTAGAAGAAGACACTCGCACATCGCACACATCTAGCCTAACTCGCCTCCAAGAAGACTTGACTTCAGTAAACCTGTCTCACTGGGCGCACCTCAGACCAGGTGCGACCCAATATTTGTGTCAGGAATCGCAACCTCCTCCGCAAACGCGGTCTCACATACAATCGCGGCCCGCCGAGCCAACGGAGCCCACGTAGAGGCCCATTGCGCGGGCACAACAAAACCTTCTCCAAGTCAATAACGTGGACCCCCTCCATCCTGCCTGCTCAGCAACAAGCCTTCCAGTACAAAAAAGAAGCGCCTATACCAGGAGTCGGATACGAGTTCTAACTCGATAAGATGAAAGACGCTCACCAGTATGCTACAATGCGGTCTTGTACATATGATCTGTAGCGCTCAGGGTTTGACTCTTACCTTTCCTCCAGGCAAGGCTCGAAAATCGCCTCCAAGCGATGCGCCCTTCGGGGAATGATTTTTTGCCTATGAGCGACCCTCCCTACGAGCACGATTCACGCCTTCCACCTCCAGGCAAGGCTCGAAATCGCCTCCAAGCATGCGCCCTTCGGGGAATGTTCCGCCTCACAATGACACTCTCATCGAGTATATTTCGCCTCTGTGTGATACTCCCCTCACGGGAATGCTTCTTCCACTAAGGCTGAAGGAGAAACGCCTCCCGACAGGCCCTAAGGAAAAATGCCTTCCAACAGGCTCACATATCTCCCAACAAGCTCGAAGAGGAGACGCCTTCCGAGAAGCTTGAAAGGATAACATAATAGTCTTTGCGCGCCAAACCGCGCCATGGACACCATAGCATCACTGATGTACCCTCAAACCAATGGCCAGGCTGAAGCATCCAACAAGCTCATCCTCCAATGACTGAACAAGCGTCTCTGGGACGATAAAGGGGCAGGGATAACTGAGCTCCCACACGTCCTATGGTCGCATCACACGACCTACAAGACGTCCACGGGAGATACCCCATTCGCTCTGACATACGGCACCAGAACGGTCACCCCAGAAGAGGTGAACTTACCCTCCCTCCATGTTCAAACATGCAACTCGGAGGACAACCACAAGAAGCTACTAGAGCAACTGGACATGGTAGAATCGCGACCTAACACGACCATGGAACGAATCGTAAGCGGAAAAGCGAAAGCAATCACCACCTACAACAAAAAGGTAAAACCGCGACAAGCTTGACGCAGAAGGCCCATCCCTCATCAAAGACAAAACAGGTCCCCGCACCTTTTTCCTAGCAACCATGGAAGGCGCCCCTGTCTCCAAAAACATGGAATGGCATGCGCCTGAGAAAGTACTACCCAGACGCAGTCTAAAGTATATCATGTCCGCCCAAGAAGCTAAAGACTAACACGCTTCTTCGAAGCCAAAAGACTATGAGGATATCCCGCCTCCTGAAGATGCTCCCATCGAGCGCTCTCTTCACGAAAATGTCAAGTCGACGGGCGATATTCCCACCATGGGAATGTTCCACCTTCTAGTGGTGCTCCCTTCGTAGGAATGCTTCTTCCACGAAGCTAAAGCCCAATCTCACATCTCACAAGCGGGTCATCGTCATGGAGACGCCTCCCGACAAGCTCGAAGGAGAAACGCCTTCCGACAGGCCCAAACGCCTCCTGATAGGCTTGAGGAGAAACGCCTTCCGACAGGCCTAAAGGAAAAATGCCTTCCGACATGCTCTCACACCTCCCGACATGCTCAAAGGAGAAACACCTTTCGAGAGGTTTAAAAGAAAAACGCGAGATGCGTCAAACGACCGTTCAAGCAAGTAACACTCTCCACCACCCAATAGACCGGGAAGGAGAAACTCCTCCCGATAAAAGCCAAGAAAGCACCATCCCAAGTCTACCTAACAAGGGCCTAGTCAACCTTGTATTCTATGCCGCGAGCCGCACCAGGACTCATAACAAACGAGTTCGACTAGATTCGACCATGGATACTCCAAGCATAGCAACAGAACGGCAAAAACCCGATCCCGCCTTCCAGCAGGCGTGACATCGTCAAAACCAATCTCGCCTCACAGAAGGTGTGGTACTGGTGATACACACGAGCGTCTTGAGCTAAAACTCTCAATTCATGGGGGCCACCCTATCTAGCACATAGCTAACGCCTAAGACAACAATGGGCTATAAAGGAGTGCATGCCTCCTGACCGAGGTTACGCTTACTTCATTTGGTCCGCTACTCGCAAGACTCGCATTCGACGTTCAAAGACCGCGTCCCAAAAGAGGAACCGCATAGCAACTATCACGCCCCAAGATGAAGCCCGTAACCGCATAACATTGCCTGCCTTCATCAAAGTCTAACATTGCGCCATTTACAAATTTCATCCAAACGTGACCCAACCCCAAAACTCGCGAACCCGCATAGCGTCGCACACGTTTGACCTCCCATCCAACTTCCAGCCGCAGGCCCGCATTGCTCAAAACCGCATTCGAGGTGCTACAGACATTCGTGCTTACCAACAGGATACAAGGCACACACCTTCCACTTTCGAACAAGGCTCGCAGGTCGCCTCCGAGCGACGCACCCTCTTGGAAATGCTTCCCGCTTCCAGGTAATTCTCCCTCCGAGGAACGATTCTCATTCATGCCTTCTGCCTCCAGGCAAGGCTTGGAAACTGCTTCCGAGCGAGGCTCCCCCAAGGAATGCTTCGCACCTCCAGGCGATGCTCGAATACATCCCCGACCTCCAAGATAAACTCGAGAACGCAGGCCTCTCAGCAGGCTGGAAGACAGAGCGCCTCCTTTGAGGTGGGAAGGCGGAGCGCCTCCCACAAGGTTGGTGGCAAACTACTCTTCCCAGAAAGCAGGGAGACTAAAGCTCTTCTCAGAAAGAAGGACCAAAATTCCCAAAGAGCTCGAAGGAAGAACCCCTCCAAGTAGGTAAGAACACCGAACACCTCCTAGTAGGGACAACATCGGCAAGAAGGAAAAACTTGATCATGCCTCACACGGGTAGGACACTGACAAGGCACATGAGCTCCCAACACACATGGGCAGGACGTTAGTAAGACACAAGAGCATTTACAGTTAAAACTCTCAACCCCGCTTTGCCACAAAGCCCAATCTCTGTCCAGATTCAAAGGTCGCCTTAGCCTGCCATGCATCTGGGACAATCATCGTGAGACGCCTTCATTAAGACCGCCTCACAAGACACACCCATGTGCAATTATCGTCTCGGCACACTGCATCTGACCTACAACCGCCTCTGGCGATCCGTCAAAGCAGTTAGCACGCTTCGCATCCAATCTGCTCCACCAACGGCGGTCCGCTTCACACATCCGGATTATTCACTGCTACATGGGGTCGAGGCTTCACAGTTCACGTCCTGCGTCTCACGAAAGATTCAGCCCGCCCTCGAATCGGGTCTACATTCATGGGTTGAAGTGCATACCACTACGCTACAAGACCGCTCTATGAACCTGAATGCGACTCTAAGAACTTGGACCATTCTGCAGCTACCTCCTACAAAGAAAAATGCATCCCACCTCGGAGTGATGCTTCCACCCGTGTTTGAAGTCCAATTCCGCTTACCCATAAGCGCGACATCGGTACATCTAGAAACACGATCCTGCCTCCAGTAGGTGCGACATCGCCAAGACACAAACAACGTCTTGAGTCACAACCCTCAAGTCGTGGGGGGCCACCCTCCCTAACACATAGCTAACACCTAATATTCAGCCAACAACTCACGCTTAACATGCACACAAGCTCATGCCCATCTCGCGGTCCAATAGCTTAACGCATACAGCTCACAGTTACGGCTCACATATTAGCACGCTCAGCAATGGTCTAGTGGGAAATCTCAAACGACTTGAGAGCTCTAACTCAAGACATCGAATACTAAACAAAGAAGCAAAGATGATGGCCGCACAAGGGGCAAACCGCATCGTTTGGACTCGCAAAGGTTCAGTCCATTCGGGGGCGTCCATACCAAGAGGCATCCTGTCACCCAGAGGCGTCCATCACCGGAAGGCGTCTCATCCACCGGGAGGCGTCCATCACCAGGGGCATCCATCACCGAGCGATGGTCGCACAAGGGGCAAAACCTCATCGTGCGGACTCACAAGTAAGGCAAGTTAATACACCTTAACGCATTATTTTACTCCTTCCATTCTTACAGAATACAAGAAGCAAAGGGGCAAATGTTGGGTCTAGTATTAACCCGCCTAATACGGGCCCAAGCCCACCACAAAGCGTCTCACCTTGGGCCCAAGCCCATTCTAGGGTCCAGTACACCGGGAGGCGTCCAGCCTACCCGGGGGCGTCCACCACCGGGAGGCGTCCATTCACCGGAAGGCGTCCAGCCTACCCGGGGGCGTCCACCACCGGGAGGCGTCCATTCACCGGAAGGCGTCCATCGACGGGAGACGTCCATGACAACGGGAGGCGTCCACAGGATGCCTCCGACTCCTATATAAGGAGGCCAGACCCTCCAAGCAAAGGGACTTCTCTCCCTTCCCTCACTTTACCACTTATGGTTCTCTCTCTAAACCTTATCTCTCTCTACATTTCTCCCTACACTCTATCATATATCTATTCTAACTTGACCGTCAGAGTGTAGATCCCGGGGGCCGCCCCCGACTCTCCACAGGTTTCTTCCACTCCCGAGGAGATCAGACGAGGGAGTCCAGATCAAGGTTCCACACTAATCCCCCGGTACTAATCCGGGTCAAACAGATTATGTAAGTTGTCGGCATGGATGAGTTTAATTTGTTGATTTTCTTTCCGAATTATTGATTTTTTTTTTGTTGTGCTGCAGCTATTATTTAGTAGAAGAGAAAATCAAACATTTTATGACTTGTCAAGTAAATCAATATAAACAACTATGTAATGTGTATAGGAACCCCAATATAAGAAACTGTGTGATGGTTTAATAGTCATTGATTCGAATCTAGTCAATTCTTTGCTCAGAAACCTTAAAATCTCATCGGAGCTTTTGAATGATCGAGGAAATCAGATATAAAACGATGAAACAAGGAAGACTCAACATATGCGTTGTAGAAACAAGAGTGAGTGGTGGAAGTAATGTTTTAAACCCTACCTACATACTGCAAGTAAATCATGCGAATCGGAAGTATAACTGTATGTAAATTAGGATGAGCAAAGCAAGGATAGGAAATAGTAGTTTCTATTGGAAAATAAGTAAGACATCACAGAGCCCATGGAAATATAGTTGGCCAGTAACAAAACTAAAGAGTTGGATCAGTGACATGCTACATCCAATGAAAGAGACGCAGATTAGTTCTCATCTATTTTCTAAATTGATCAAATGGAATTTACGCATCCAAAATGACAAAATACTTACATCTACACAAATGGAACTTTGAGTTCAGGTGGCACGGTATCACTTAGAAAGGAAGCTACTTTATCCAGCTTGAGTAGAACTTCAATCCCCTATAACGTACGTGCGTGCTGATCAACTGTCATGTTTGAAGGCTTTCCAAGGGGTAAGGTACGACACGATCACACACAACGTATCGTTAAATAACAATACAATATAAGAATCATTCTAAATATATGATCATAAATTGTATGAGAAGATTTATAATGATTTTGAGAGCTAAGCAGATATATAGTAGATGGTGCAAGGACTGAATTTTAGTTTGACAGAGGCGACATGAGCAACCATTCGAGCATTATGACAGAGTAAGGAGTAGAGTGAAGCAACCAATTATACATAATTCAGGTGGTCTCTCTTGGTGATTTCGAAGAACAACCATAAATAGTATCTCGATTTCACACTTATAAAAAACTATTTTTTATAAGCTTAATAAAAGATGGCTTGGGTTTCGCTACAATATCCCGGTCTGTAAAACTATGCAAAACCCGATCGTATCATATATATCATCGTATCACGAAGACCGGGTTGTGCAGAATTTTGCAGACCAGCACAAGTATTTTAACTGGGCTTTTATTAGGCCCAGAAACAAGTTGCGGGCTCAAAACTAGGCGAAATAAATTTTGTTTTCCCGCCCGCCTCGTGAACACACAGTCCAAGCCCACAGCACAACAGATCCAACCCGCCTCGTGAACTCTTTCACCGTCACCCCGTTCTCCTCCTCTCACACTCTCTCTCCTCTTTCCCGCCCAATTTCCAGCCAGCGACGCCGACGTCATCAACCGCCACCGCCGCCTTATAAGCACAGTAGCCCACACAGAAAAGCACGCTCTCGACTCAGAGACTTCCATAACAGAATCTCCTCCGCTCACAACAACCTCACCCGCTCTCGATTTTCTACATTCACTCTCTCTCTCTCTCATTCACCAAAGGACCGCCATGGATGCTCCGCTGAAGCTTTTCCACCTCCTCCTCCTGCTCTCTCTTTCCTCCATCCTCTCCACTCCAAGCGCATCCTCCACCGCCGCCTTCGTTACAGACACTTCTGCCCTCGCTTCGTCTCCATCCTCCTCAACCGGCGGCCATTCGTCGCTGCCGACTCCTCCGCCGCCGCCAGAGGCCATCACCTCCGCTTTCCCCGATCTTCGATTCGACGTCGTCCGTCTCCAGCATCCCGACCCCAACCTCATCGGAGCCTTCGACTTCACCAACACCTCCGTGGTTCTTGCAATTCCAAACGGCCTTATCGCTCCGATGGCTTCCAGTCGCACTCTGGCCGTCGAGTGGCTCCGCGTCCACGTCCTCCCTTTCTATCCGCGCTCCAAGATCGCAGTGATCTCCGTCGGCGAAGACGCGGTCGCCGTCTCTCAGATCTCGTTCCTGCTGCCTGCCATACGCAACGTCCACGTCGCGCTCAGAGACGACATCGGAATCAGGTCGATCTCCGTCTCCACGACCTTTTCCTTCATCAACATCGTGACGGCGGTGCGTCCTCCTTCGGCGGCCACTTTCCAGGAGCCGATCGGCGGGGCGGTGATCCGGCCACTGCTGAAGTTCTTGGAAGACACAAATTCTTCCTTCTTGGTGAATCTTTACCCGCACAACATGTACGGATTGAGCTATCAGATATCTCCCGGAGTTGCTCTGTTTCATGAAGGCGCTTCCAATTTCAGCACTGGAGTCCGGAACGGCAATCCGTTCGAGATGATGGTGGATGCTGTCGTCACTTCCTTGGAGGTCGCCGGCCACGGGAACATCCCCTTGATCGTCTTCGTCGCCGAGACGGGCGAGGGAACGCCGCTGCGGAAAGAAGGGGTAGCGCCGGCCTACATCTACGAGCTGGTTGAAGCCGTTTCTAAGCAGCAGCTTCAGCTGCAGCAGGGGGAGCACAATTGGGGCATTCTGTACCCAAGCATGAGCAAGAAGCATGAGCCGGACTCTTCGATCGCCAGTAAGAACACTGTGATTTCTTTCGGAGTTCTGGTTTGCGTTTTCTTCTTCTCTTTACTACTCCTTCATCCGCCTCGCACAACTCTTTCGGCCCGAGCACTGGCGGAATCCATATTTGCTTTGGTCCTTTCGGTTATTGGTTTCCTATACACTCCGGAGCAGGAACAGGAAGGTCGACGAAACATGGGCCGTGAGATACGCCACAGAGGACCTCGACGAAACAGGGGCCGTCAGGTACACCGCAGAGGACCTAAGCCATTTTGGATCTTTGTCGCCCTCGTAGTCACTGCGCTGTTTGTTGGTGGGTTACTGGCGATATTGATCTAGCTGGAGAGATTGTTTCTTTTTTCCCGTTCACTGTTCTGCTTTCGTCTAGATAATTGGGGATTGAATTGTGGTTTCTGCGGAGCAATTTTTGTGAATAGATCTGGGAATAGTGGTTTAATAGCTTGATTCCAATTTTGATCGAACTGTTCAGGGTTGTAGATGGAATCAGATTGAGGAATTCCCCTCATGTAACTACAGTTTTGTAATGATGAATAATAATGGCGATTCGCTCACCTGAATTGGTTTCTCTCTTCTGAATTCCGAATTCGCATTTGCAGATAATTAGTTCAAGGAAGATGGTTGTTTTATGGTACATAGATGGTTGAATTAATTAATAATCAAAACTATTTGGATCACTGGATTGATAAGCTTTTGGGGGGATTTGGGCTTCTGGGCACGTTGGACTGATTGTTTTGGGCCTATAAAATAGTCTTTCTAAATTCTACCTGCCGGCGTAAGAAAAGGAACGATCTTCCATAGACGATCTTCTTCCCAGTTCCAACCCAAACCCCAGGGTCCAGGGTCAATATCAGCGCTTGTGATATGCCTAGCTTAGCGAGAGCTTGCACAGAAAAGTCGATGGCCAAAAGCAGAGTCCTTCAGTGAAACGGGGCTCCGCCGGGTTGCATTTGCAGGTAGGTCTACGATTGATTTCTGCAATTACCCTCTACCATGTGCTCAATTATATTATCATATAGCGTTTCGAACTCGGTTATTGTGGCATGAAATCAACTGGGATTTGCTCAAGTTTGCATTCTGTTTCAAGTAATTGCTTGGGGGAATCACTTACTGGTTCGGCTGTTTCAGTTCATTCCCTGTTTCAAGCTTCTGGGTTTGCTGCGGGAGGAATGCTAACCCATTGAATTGCTTATTGCAGTTGTGATTGTGATGCGGTGTGAGCAAAGCTGGATTAAGGAGAACTAAATATCTTGTAAGTTGATGGGGAAAACAAAAACACATTGGACTCCTGCAATCAGAAAGTATTCGTGGATGCCTGTCTGGATCAGACTTTGAAGGGAATAGACCCTCTACTTGTTTCACTAAATATGGATGGGACAATATCTTACAAGCATTAAATAGAATAGATTGGTTGCATATTGACAAGAAGCAGTTGACAAACACTGGAATATCACAAAGGAGCGTTGGACAATCTGGTGCAATAACCACGGATAGCATCATGAAATGGAATCCTGAAACCGGTTTCTTTGGGCAAGAGATGCAGATTGGAGCACCTATTGGGTATGTGTATTATTGCTGTTAGTATTTGGCGGTTTTTTTAGTTGGTTGATTATTGAGCAATTGTCCGTTGAATGCCTATAGGAGCACCTGAAGCTGGGATATTTCCAGTCAAAAAGCGCCTGCACCATGTCAAGCTGGAAATCATTTTTTATCTTGTCAACCTGGGAGAAGGGAGGTAAACTGTCTCTAGAATGTCCAGATGATGTGAAAACCAACAATATACTTGACCATGTAGTTGCTATTTACTTGTGCTAGCTACATGTCCGTTGAGTTTACATATTGGTTTGACAAATGTCTTTTTGCTGCAACAATCTGAATTACCAGGTCGGATCTCCTGCTCGTTTTGTCTGATTGCACCAATTGATGTGGTTGTCCCTCCAGGAAACACTGTGCTTGATCCATCTCAGACATGTTTCATCCAGGTTAGTGGTTGCTCTATTACTACTCCATTAGCTTAATCTTATTTCTGATGTAAAATGGGGCTTGAATGCTTGGTGGGTGGGTTTCTGGATCTGCGATTTGAGGTACATTTCTGATTTGTTATGCAAAAACTGTGGAGTCTCCTTCCATCTCAACAGATTATGGGTTCACCTTCTGATTTCGGCCGGTCCATCACTTTCTTATTTCCTTATCTCTGGCTTTCCTCTGGAAATATCTTCAAGAACTAATGCCACCATGTAGTTTTGCGTACCATTAGTTTCCTACCCTTATACCTCTCTTCTCCTGAATTAATTGATTATTAGTAAAAAACAGTCTTTTGCTTCTTTTTCCCATTGGAATCCCAATCCCTTCTACTCTCACTTGCTTTTTCTCCTATTCCACAAGTGGGTAACATACACTAATCCGGCCAACGGGCCGGGTAATAGGTTGTACATGGTTCAAAATGATACAATGCAGTAGGTGATATGTGTCTCGAAGGTTTTGAGTTGCTAAAGTTCATGTTAAAAATAAACATGAATTAAAATAGATTATTCTATTAAGCAAACATCCCCTCTAATCATACAAAGATCAGATATCCAATTCACAAACAATTAAGCCATAAAAAATCATCACACATCCACCACCTTTGATTGCCTAAATTTGGTTTTTCGCAAAGTTATGGACTCTTAAGGGTAACGTTCATGGGTAGTCTGTTTCATAACTCTAGAGAGCACAGTAAGCAACCACCAACCAGCACAGTGCGGTAGGCGAATATGATTCTCAATTCACAATTTCTCACCACCGGAAGTAAGAACAGACCATAATAAGCGTCGCGTTCATGGGTGGTCTGTTTCATAGCACTACTACACAATTTGTTAAAAAAGAAAGAAAGGTATTTAGCATCACGGCAGAACAACTTTTACAGGCCGACAACGACAACATGTTGCAACCACCAGAACTGGTATCACAACTCATAGGGAAAATCAAAAGATTTACTCTCAAATTAAGCAGTTACAACATCGCAATCGTCAAGCACATACACCATCACAAAAGTCACGAAAAGTGATTCACAAAGCATTCAAACATTTGAGGACATTTCTGCAAAGGTACAACTTATATGTCTTTTTCCAAGCCATTTCCATCAACATGCTAATAAATTTGCTATGCATAAAACAAACGGGCCAAAACTTGAAATTCAGCCTGTTTGACCGACCCATGCCAAATTCTAATTATTCTTTACTTTTAAACTTTCTATTTGAAAATAAAAAATAGTGAAAGAAAAGAGACGACTACAATTCGCCATTTTCACATCACTTATTCGGGAATAAAACCATAGAAATTCAAAAAGAACTAAAAATAGTTAGGATCGTTTTAATGTTTAAAATAACTAAATAGATCTTTTATGTTTAGTTTTTTACTAACAAATACCAAACGATTCCCTATAAAATACACTATAATTTGATCATTATGATATCAAATAATTATAAAATATATATTTGAAATGATAAAAATTGAACTAATTGGGTTTGTCGAGGTTGAACCATGGAATAACTCTAAAATACATTATATTTTAGCCACTAAGATATAGAATAATAGCACAATATATATTATGCCAGAGAAAATAGCTTGTTTTAGAATGACAAACCAATGATGTTCATTTGTTTCACTTGATGGCCAAATCCCATGTAGGTCAGGCCCATTCAACTCTTTTATTTTATGGTTAGCGATTAGCTCATTGGATACCATGCATTCAACTCCTTTTCATATATATTTTATCACCACAGAGAAATAAAAAGGTTTAAAGAAAAAAATTGACACTCCTGGGCCCGTTTAAATTCGCATGTGTACAGTAAGTTGGCCCGTTCCACAGAGGAAAGAGAAAAAAATTGACACTCCCTATTCTACCCTTCCTACAAACGCTCATCGAGTAGGGAATTTGAAATGGGGAAAGGGTTTTTCCCTCCCTGCTATTATATGTTTTTAATTTAAAAAGATACAACAAATGTACTTAGTGTGATTGGTTATGGTCTTTGCTTTTCTTTAAAATGGTCATGGTTCGAATCCCAGTACGTGTCTTTTTAATGAATAAAAAAAAGTAATTGTGAAGACTAAAATGTCCTTCCTACTTTCACTCTCGTTGCAGGAAATTTGAAATGGAGCTCCCGTCTTTTGCTTCTTTTTCCCATTGGAATGTTTATACAGTCTAGCTTTTCATAGTTTTGCTTAGGCTCAAATTACAGTTGTTTAGAATTGAATTTTGCCTGATGTCCTTTATGCCGTGTCTAAGTCATCCTCGGAAGTCAGTCTTTGATTAGTTCGTGAGAAAATCATGAAAACGAAGTGTAAAGTAACAAATTTGATGTTTCAGTAGCTTCATAGTTATCAATTGATTGTATGTTTAGATTTTCAACGCTTTTATTGTATTCCTTAAAGGAATTATTGATCAAAGACCAAATCATTGAATCCGCTCATTCAAGCCATAATCTTGAAGCTGATATGATGTTTTATTATTTGATGAATAGAGAGGTGAGTAAGCTTTCACAGTTTTAGGCTCTGGTTGGATGATCACTTATCCATTTTGGGGGGTTGCTGGTGTGATTCTTGATAATGGTTCAAATGTACAGAAAACTAGAACTGCCAACATTTGCTCATTGATGTCAAGTCTGTTTCAGTTGTTTTCTATGCACCTTTCTCAGTTATTTCTCCATTATCTGGCAACTTTCCCTTTTCTCCACTATTTGGCCACTGTAGTCATTGTTCTTTAATGAGATTGCACCAGAACTTAAAGGTGAGTCTGTAAGAGTAGATTCCCCCTAACCTGCTTCTGTTTCAAATTATCGTAGCGCTTTGATAAAGCTTATGTTATTAGTATTACCCTTACGGCCTCGTCCTTCCGTGTTATTGAAAGTTCTGTTTTTGTATAGTCTCCAGTTGGTTTAAACCAGGGGACTTGTTTTTCTTTTGCAACTCTAACGGATGAAGAAGACTGAACTTTGCAGCTCCCATTGCTGAACTCTTAACAGACGAGGAAAGACGGAAGAAGATACCTGCTGATTGGAGTTTGGGGTGCTTTGGCTTTGTCCTCTAACAAAGTGATATCTGGTGCTGGTGCTGCAGCCAATAGACCTTTTAAAGAATCTTTAAAGGTTTGGCATCCAACCTTCATAGGCTAGGACCTCTCTGGACTATGCCTTATGCTTTCAGAATTGAACGGTCTGCCTTTTGTTAAATGTCAAAATCTCTTTAGTAAATTGGAGAAGCTTATCTGCAAGAAATTTTGTAATACGTAGCAACCTGAGGATTTTCATGACCCTTACCGCTGTAAAACCCGGTGCAGCTAAGGCATCCGTTCTAGTGATTTATAGTTTTGAACAGTTTTATTTTCATTGGCCTTTGGTGAGACGAAAAAGGATACCCAGATTGGGTCACCTTCTATGCTTAGCTGGACTGGAATGCTTAGCATTGATGTCTTTCTAATAATATTCTCTTCATAGTTAATCGTTAATTGATAATGCGATTTGTGATTAATCGCTAAGTAAAAAAAATTCTATTGCTAGCTGACACACAAAACTCATTGGTTAACCGTTAACCCATAGTGTGATTAACGGCTATTTTATCAGTTAACTGCTTAACTATCACAACATAATAGCAAGTTCAAATTAAATCTTAAAAAAGGAAATAAATTAATTATGAAAAAATCCAAAGAATTTCGGAAAATAAAAGCTACATAAAAGATTCCAAGTTACGATTGAAATTATTGACTAACAATTGAAAACTAAAAATTAATCTTAAAAAAGGAAATAAATTAATTATGAAAAAATCCAATGAATTTCGGAAAATAAAAGCTACATAAAAGATTCCAAGTTACGATTGAAATTATTGACTAACAATTGAAAACTAAAAATTAATGTGATTTAACCATTTAAATTGACTATCAATCCACGAGACAAGCAAAATCGGTTCAATTATTTTGATATTATGAACATGATAAAAAAATTTAAATTTTTTAACAAAAGTAAATCTAAAAAAAATCAAATTAAATAATTGTAAACTCGTTTTTCCTAGCGGAATATTTTGGATTATGATTGTATAGGCCTAAAAAGACAATCAGCCCACCGATCCATAAACCAAAACCCCTCCAGGCCGGCCCAGTAGTGTCAAGTGTCCAGTTATTAATATCATTCCGAGGAACAAAAAACAAAAATCCAGTTCCGAAAAAGAAAGGGAATTTTACTTCGGATAGCAGAGCAACTCCTAAATTCAAGCCAGAGAGAGCGCCACCGACGATGATTCGATTATATATAGACAGAAAAACAGAGTAGAAAGAACATTCATCGATCTCTCCTTGCCCGCTTGCGTACAGAATGATGAAGACATCAAGAATGACGTGGCTCTTCGTCCTGCAGTCTGTGCTCTGTGTTATCGGCCTCAACGGCTTCGTGTTGTTGATGAACATCCTGTTCGAATACATTGAAAAATTGGATGAGTTCCCACGAGACCTCATCTCCGGATGTATAACCGCAGGCATTCTGGTCTCCCTAACCTCCCTCTAGAGCGTACTCAGGAGCCATGTATCCACTGTTCAAAACAAGTACAATTCATCATTTCAAGTCAATAGTTTGCGGCCATTACAAACTCTATGAATTCGTCTATCAACTTACTATGTTTCAACAACTCGCTCACTGTTGGCCTCGATCGGTACTTGTTTCCGAATATCCTAGCGGTCCCGAAATCCGAGATCTTGGGATTCATCTGATCGTCCAGAAGCACATTGCTCGCTTTCATATCTCTATGGATGATCTTAAAACGAGAGTCCTCGTGGAGGTACATGAGTCCCCTGGCTGTGCCTTCTACTATGTTTGCTCGCTTTTCCCAGTCGAGCTCCTTGCTTTTCTTCGGATCTGTTGCATAAATTACGATGTTTATGACAAGTACCGTAAGTCTGTAGGTCATTTAAAGCAGGTAAGTGTCAAGAACCAGTTGATCCCAATAACTCGAGTTGTTGGGAGAAGGTTTTGCTGGATCTTATACTACACTCTAACACGCCCCCTCAAACGAAAGCCAACCCATGGGCTTGAAGTTTGCACAGGCCCACCATACCATGTGCTTGAAAGACAACGATTAATATTGGGGGTCGTGGAGATTCGAACACATGACTTTTTGGTTCGAGGCTCTGATACCATGTCAAGAACCAGTTGATCCCAATAACTCGAGTTTTGGGAGAAGGTTTTGCTGGATCTTATACTACACTCTAACAGTAAGAACGATGAATCAAGAACCTAGGAAGGGTGCAAACCGAAAAGGAAGGCGTCAAGGCTGGTGTTGGCCAAATACTCATAGACAAGCAGCTTCTCCCCTCTCCAAGCAATAACCCAACAGCCTCACCAGATTCCTGTGCTGAAGCTTGACAATCACCATCACCTCGTTCCTGAACTCTTCCAGACCTTGCTTGGATGTCAAGGAAAGCCTCTTCACCGCTATTTCTTGCCCGTCTTGCAGCTTCCCCTGCATCACCACATCGGAGAGCTAGCTCAGCTCGTCACAATAGTCGAAGAGGCTAGCTCTTTCCAATAACTCGAGTAATGGAAAGATTTTTTAAAATGGGTCGTTGGAGTACCGCGAAGCTGACGTTGGAGTACCGCAGCATGCACTGGTCGTAATCGTCACCCTGTGAGCAGGGCAGCGTCGCTGGACCTCCTGCACGGCCTGCGTCAGGGTGACGTCTCCGCGGCAGAGGTAGAGGGAGAATACCTCGCCGTCCGCCGCAGAGTCGTTGGAGAAGGTGGTGGTGGAGGCCTTGGGGGGCAGGGTGTTGAGGAGGGCGGCGAGGTTTGAGGTGTAGGCGGGAGGTGTGGTTGAGTTGGAACTGTCTTGACAGCCGGCGGTGTTGAAAGTCGGCTGCTGTTGAGATGTGGTGGAGAAAACGAGGAGGTGGATTGTTGTGAGGAAGATGATTGCGGAGGAAAGGAAAGGGATATGGCTATTGATTACTCTTCCTGTTCGAATCATGGCGGCTTGGAAAGGAGAAAGATGCAGGGGAGCTTGGGCAGAGGAGCATTAGAGACAAATAGTTTCGTTTGTATCTTTCTCTGTCTGTTCTTCTTTTAATTAAGTTGGGAGTTTGACTAAAAATTGGTGGAAAGGATTTTTGACCGTTGGATCGGCAAGCAGCGCGTGGAATTAGCCTAGTTAGCTTGCGTGCAGAGATTGATTCGTTCGGCACTAATTTTATCTTATGATGGGTTAATTACATGAATAGTCATGGAATTTCATACTTCGTCGATACTTTATCGTTGAAGTTAACGCCGGCTAGGTAGGCTGCGGGCGGCAGAGTCAGCGAGTAGTAATTGTCGATAGGCACTTCAAATGAAATTTGCAATGTATAGAATCGAACAGAAGAGGGAATGGAAAATTGAATTAATATTGTTTGGGGTGTTTTTAAAAGTTCTGGGTACCAAAATGTAATTAAAAGTAAGAAAAAATTTCGGGCAGAAAACTTCCGGGGCAATTTTTGCCAGTTTCCAAAGGGGTACCATCACCGATTTCGGGCGATTTTATGGAAAGTCCGTTTTCCTTGGATTTTGAATGCGTTGGATCACAGATTCGGCCTTAGGGTACTCTCCACCAGCGATGAAGTCTAGCAATGGCCGATTTGGTCGGAAATTTGGTCGAATTTTTACGGAGGGCATTTTCGTAATTTTTAGGCGCTTTTTTCGAAAGGCCATTTTCCTTCGGTTTTGAAGGGTGCAGATCACGGATTCAGCCTGAGGCTATTCTTTAGGGATGAATAAGTCTATTAAACAGGGTTTCGGGCAGAAAACTTCCGGGGCAATTTTTGCCAGTTTCCAAAGGGGTACCATCACCGATTTCGGGCGATTTTATGGAAAGTCCGTTTTCCTTGGATTTTGAATGCGTTGGATCACAGATCCGGCCTTAGGGTACTCTCCACCAGCGATGAAGTCTAGCAATGGCCGATTTGGTCGGAAATTTGGTCGAATTTTTACGGAGGGCATTTTCGTAATTTTTAGGCGCTTTTTTCGAAAGGCCATTTTCCTTCGGTTTTGAAGGGTGCAGATCACGGATTCAGCCTGAGGCTATTCTTTAGGGATGAATAAGTCTATTAAACAGGGTTTCGGGCAGAAAACTTCCGGGCCAATTTTTGCCAGTTTCCAAAGGGGTACCATCACCGATTTCGGGCGATTTTATGGAAAGTCCGTTTTCCTTGGATTTTGAATGCGTTGGATCACAGATTCGGCCTTAGGGTACTCTCCACCAGCGATGAAGTCTAGCAATGGCCGATTTGGTCGGAAATTTGGTCGAATTTTTACGGAGGGCATTTTCGTAATTTTTAGGCGCTTTTTTCGAAAGGCCATTTTCCTTCGGTTTTGAAGGGTGCAGATCACGGATTCAGCCTGAGGCTATTCTTTAGGGATGAATAAGTCTATTAAACAGGGTTTCGGGCAGAAAACTTCCGGGGCAATTTTTGCCAGTTTCCAAAGGGGTACCATCACCGATTTCGGGCGATTTTATGGAAAGTCCGTTTTCCTTGGATTTTGAATGCGTTGGATCACAGATTCGGCCTTAGGGTACTCTCCACCAGCGATGAAGTCTAGCAATGGCCGATTTGGTCGGAAATTTGGTCGAATTTTTACGGAGGGCATTTTCGTAATTTTTAGGCGCTTTTTTCGAAAGGCCATTTTCCTTCGGTTTTGAAGGGTGCAGATCACGGATTCAGCCTGAGGCTATTCTTTAGGGATGAATAAGTCTATTAAACAGGGTTTCGGGCAGAAAACTTCCGGGGCAATTTTTGCCAGTTTCCAAAGGGGTACCATCACCGATTTCGGGCGATTTTATGGAAAGTCCGTTTTCCTTGGATTTTGAATGCGTTGGATCACAGATTCGGCCTTAGGGTACTCTCCACCAGCGATGAAGTCTAGCAATGGCCGATTTGGTCGGAAATTTGGTCGAATTTTTACGGAGGGCATTTTCGTAATTTTTAGGCGCTTTTTTCGAAAGGCCATTTTCCTTCGGTTTTGAAGGGTGCAGATCACGGATTCAGCCTGAGGCTATTCTTTAGGGATGAATAAGTCTATTAAACAGGGTTTCGGGCAGAAAACTTCCGGGGCAATTTTTGCCAGTTTCCAAAGGGGTACCATCACCGATTTCGGGCGATTTTATGGAAAGTCCGTTTTCCTTGGATTTTGAATGAGTTGGATCACAGATCCGGCCTTAGGGTACTCTCCACCAGCGATGAAGTCTAGCAATGGCCGATTTGGTCGGAAATTTGGTCGAATTTTTACGGAGGGCATTTTCGTAATTTTTAGGCGCTTTTTTCGAAAGGCCATTTTCCTTCGGTTTTGAAGGGTGCAGATCACGGATTCAGCCTGAGGCTATTCTTTAGGGATGAATAAGTCTATTAAACAGGGTTTCGGGCAGAAAACTTCCGGGCCAATTTTTGCCAGTTTCCAAAGGGGTACCATCACCGATTTCGGGCGATTTTATGGAAAGTCCGTTTTCCTTGGATTTTGAATGCGTTGGATCACAGATTCGGCCTTAGGGTACTCTCCACCAGCGATGAAGTCTAGCAATGGCCGATTTGGTCGGAAATTTGGTCGAATTTTTACGGAGGGCATTTTCGTAATTTTTAGGCGCTTTTTTCGAAAGGCCATTTTCCTTCGGTTTTGAAGGGTGCAGATCACGGATTCAGCCTGAGGCTATTCTTTAGGGATGAATAAGTCTATTAAACAGGGTTTCGGGCAGAAAACTTCCGGGGCAATTTTTGCCAGTTTCCAAAGGGGTACCATCACCGATTTCGGGCGATTTTATGGAAAGTCCGTTTTCCTTGGATTTTGAATGCGTTGGATCACAGATTCGGCCTTAGGGTACTCTCCACCAGCGATGAAGTCTAGCAATGGCCGATTTGGTCGGAAATTTGGTCGAATTTTTACGGAGGGCATTTTCGTAATTTTTAGGCGCTTTTTTCGAAAGGCCATTTTCCTTCGGTTTTGAAGGGTGCAGATCACGGATTCAGCCTGAGGCTATTCTTTAGGGATGAATAAGTCTATTAAACAGGGTTTCGGGCAGAAAACTTCCGGGGCAATTTTTGCCAGTTTCCAAAGGGGTACCATCACCGATTTCGGGCGATTTTATGGAAAGTCCGTTTTCCTTGGATTTTGAATGAGTTGGATCACAGATCCGGCCTTAGGGTACTCTCCACCAGCGATGAAGTCTAGCAATGGCCGATTTGGTCGGAAATTTGGTCGAATTTTTACGGAGGGCATTTTCGTAATTTTTAGGCGCTTTTTTCGAAAGGCCATTTTCCTTCGGTTTTGAAGGGTGCAGATCACGGATTCAGCCTGAGGCTATTCTTTAGGGATGAATAAGTCTATTAAACAGGGTTTCGGGCAGAAAACTTCCGGGGCAATTTTTGCCAGTTTCCAAAGGGGTACCATCACCGATTTCGGGCGATTTTATGGAAAGTCCGTTTTCCTTGGATTTTGAATGCGTTGGATCACAGATTCGGCCTTAGGGTACTCTCCACCAGCGATGAAGTCTAGCAATGGCCGATTTGGTCGGAAATTTGGTCGAATTTTTACGGAGGGCATTTTCGTAATTTTTAGGCGCTTTTTTCGAAAGGCCATTTTCCTTCGGTTTTGAAGGGTGCAGATCACGGATTCAGCCTGAGGCTATTCTTTAGGGATGAATAAGTCTATTAAACAGGGTTTCGGGCAGAAAACTTCCGGGGCAATTTTTGCCAGTTTCCAAAGGGGTACCATCACCGATTTCGGGCGATTTTATGGAAAGTCCGTTTTCCTTGGATTTTGAATGCGTTGGATCACAGATCCGGCCTTAGGGTACTCTCCACCAGCGATGAAGTCTAGCAATGGCCGATTTGGTCGGAAATTTGGTCGAATTTTTACGGAGGGCATTTTCGTAATTTTTAGGCGCTTTTTTCGAAAGGCCATTTTCCTTCGGTTTTGAAGGGTGCAGATCACGGATTCAGCCTGAGGCTATTCTTTAGGGATGAATAAGTCTATTAAACAGGGTTTCGGGCAGAAAACTTCCGGGGCAATTTTTGCCAGTTTCCAAAGGGGGTACCATCACCGATTTCGGGCGATTTTATGGAAAGTCCGTTTTCCTTGGATTTTGAATGCGTTGGATCACAGATTCGGCCTTAGGGTACTCTCCACCAGCGATGAAGTCTAGCAATGGCCGATTTGGTCGGAAATTTGGTCGAATTTTTACGGAGGGCATTTTCGTAATTTTTAGGCGCTTTTTTCGAAAGGCCATTTTCCTTCGGTTTTGAAGGGTGCAGATCACGGATTCAGCCTGAGGCTATTCTTTAGGGATGAATAAGTCTATTAAACAGGGTTTCGGGCAGAAAACTTCCGGGGCAATTTTTGCCAGTTTCCAAAGGGGTACCATCACCGATTTCGGGCGATTTTATGGAAAGTCCGTTTTCCTTGGATTTTGAATGCGTTGGATCACAGATTCGGCCTTAGGGTACTCTCCACCAGCGATGAAGTCTAGCAATGGCCGATTTGGTCGGAAATTTGGTCGAATTTTTACGGAGGGCATTTTCGTAATTTTTAGGCGCTTTTTTCGAAAGGCCATTTTCCTTCGGTTTTGAAGGGTGCAGATCACGGATTCAGCCTGAGGCTATTCTTTAGGGATGAATAAGTCTATTAAACAGGGTTTCGGGCAGAAAACTTCCGGGGCAATTTTTGCCAGTTTCCAAAGGGGTACCATCACCGATTTCGGGCGATTTTATGGAAAGTCCGTTTTCCTTGGATTTTGAATGCGTTGGATCACAGATTCGGCCTTAGGGTACTCTCCACCAGCGATGAAGTCTAGCAATGGCCGATTTGGTCGGAAATTTGGTCGAATTTTTACGGAGGGCATTTTCGTAATTTTTAGGCGCTTTTTTCGAAAGGCCATTTTCCTTCGGTTTTGAAGGGTGCAGATCACGGATTCAGCCTGAGGCTATTCTTTAGGGATGAATAAGTCTA